AAATGCTGTGAACATACAAATACATATAGGTACTTCCTATTATATTATATTTCAAATGAATTACGAATTTAAAGTAATTTAAGTAATTATATGTGTTTCATTAAAAATTCAAATCCAAACAGATATATTTCAACAAAAATACAGTTTCCAATTAATAAGAAAATTAAATTTTTATACACATCCTTAATATCGTAGTGGTACAAATATGTATATTGTATGATAATCCTTTATCGATACTAATAAAAATCATAGTTTACCTATACATGTTATAACCTATTCATCATATAAAAGCAGTTTCTCAACTGTCCCAACAATCTACTTTTTCTCAAAAAACCAGTCATCTCAATTTATTATAATAACTACACATATAATTTTCATTGAGTATATTCATTACATCAATTCTTGTAATTTAATACATAATACAATATCAGTACGATAATGTATAAATAAGGAAAATTACGTTTTGATTTAAACATTTACCATCATATTTTGTCATAAAATAAAAGAAAATTTGTAAATTTATTTTATACACACTTATATAATGTTATAATACATGATTTATTTCTTCTGGCGCTTGCTTCTCGTTTTCGTCCGCAAATATTATTATATTATAAATATGGCATGCAAAAACCGTAATAAGTTATTAAGACGTATAATTTCGTATAATAATAATATAATAATAGCGCGGAGGCGATATAATATACAATATAATCAAATTACATTAATAAAGGAATAAGAGTACGTTCACTTTAAACAACTGTAAAGTCGTCGTCGTTAATCTAATATTATGAACAATGCTTAAACTAGCGCTTGCGTATTCATTTGTGTCTGTTATATGTGTGAGAGCAGTATAACTTTCATGTAGGCGGAACCCGAACAGTCGGGTGGCTGATATGGACGTGTCGGAAACTCGAGGGGAAATGCGTTGCCGGCCAATGGATTTGATCGGATAAAAACCGCGTGATTCTGCGCACAGAAGCGGCGCACCGGAAATCATTTTTATACAGCTGACGCCTTTACCCACTTTTATAATATTATTATTATCATTTTATATAGAAGATGATTTCTATATTAGTATAAAATATCTCTCGCCTTAAAAAACATTTTTTTTTTTTTACATTATTTTATTTCTGAAGATTTCTATGATATAATAATATAATTTATTAGTTATGAATATTTAAAGTTAAGATGTGAGTGGATCAATATTTAATAGTGATCTAACACTTAGGAGTAACCGCTATGTTACTGCATTCTACTCATTTAAAATTGTATTTAGTATTTTTGACCGTATAATATTATTATGTATTATGAAATGTATACTTTTATATATTTTCGTATCTATACCTAAAATAATTTGTACAATAAACTTTTAGTATTCTACTTGGAGATTCTTAATTTTATATGCGATATCATTAATGAATTATAATTTAGACTCTTGAAATAACTCCAACTATTTTGGAAAGAATATATAAGAGCGCGTCTTATAACTACGTCATTACAATTTATTAAAGTAACATATTAATTTATTTATTGTTATTATAAATATATATAAAAAAAGAATTTATTAACTATAATAATTAATATTAGGTTCCTACTGATATATATTATTATTGTCATGTTAATATATTTATTTTAATAATTCATTATTCAAAATTTTAAACTCGTCTAAGAAATAACTTAATATTTTAGTTTAAAAAAAAATAGAACATTTATCTTGGTATAGTTAATAATTAATATAGATAAATAGTCTTGTACACACAAATAATATGTTTATTGTCAGTTATACATGACAGACCTTATTATATAATATATTGTATACAAATTATTACTGAAGAATTAAAAAAAAAGATAAAACACATTTAATTATAGCTGCTCAATATAACATTAAATATTATGTCGTCAAAATTTATTTTAAACAATCGGCAGAATCATTTAACATTTTCCAAGTGAATGTGTGACATGTTAAGAATAATATTAGGTTAAGAATGTTGAGACTGTACCTAAAGCCACATTTGCAAAAAAATTGGGTTATTAACCTCCCTCCTCTCAGAAAAAAAGCACACTGCAACCTCCCTAAAATTATTCTAAAAGTATAAAAATGTTGAAGTTTTATTTTCATAAATATATATGAAAAAAAAATTTATGACAAACATAATATTTTTATATTTAAAGTAAATTTGTTTTTATCAACTATATGTATATTAAAATAAATGTAAACAATATCTGAATAGTGAATAGAAAAAATATTATTTTGTACTTTAGGATTCATTGAATATTAACAGATTAAATATTAAATCAGAAATGACTGCTAGAAATCGCATAAATAAAATGAACAGTGATTTTAATATTCAAAATTTAAAAAAATACAACAAAAAACGAAATTTTTCCTAACCTATATTAAATGCTACAAGTAGCATTTACTCTTCCAATTACTTGGCAATGTGTGAGCAATCTTTTTTCTATTATGTGAAAAATAATGACATAGATAAGAACTTCTATGCACTAGAACAATAGAACGTTTTAAAAATCTCTCTATTCTACTCATAGAAAAAGATTTAACAAAAAGTATTAATAGTAAATGTAGTTTTAATGAATTTTTAATTTTTTTAAGAACGACGGGTTTAAAATAAAATAAAAAATATTTACGTCTTAGTTATAGTTTTATTTTTTTTTAATAAACCTACAATGTATATGTTATTACTTATTAAGTATATGATATTATTAAATATAAAAAAATTTAATGAAAAAAAGTTTGGGTAGTTATTTCATTTTAAGTATTTAGTTCAGTGCAATTATTTAAATATTCAATAAAAAAATTGTTAACAATTATATATGGGTGGGTACAGACTACAGAGGGCAATATTTTGGAGATTTAGATTTATGTATTTATGTGAAAAATTGTAGTTTTTTTATCTTTTAAATAGATTTCCACCAATGTCTAAAGATACAAAATTAATTTACCATAAAATTCTAAAATACGAAAAAAAACATTGTTCATAAATCATATTATATTTCATATCTCTTCTCCATAATATACAATACATATTATATGTATATATAAGTTGAGATATTTTACTGTGTATGCGAGTGAATCACAATTATATTATAAAAAATTTTATATAGTTGCAGAATTTAATCGTCGGTTGATATTCTACAATACTGCAGCTAAGGTATTATAGTTATAAGATAATATATTATGATAAAAATAGTATAATATAAATTTATAGTAGAAAGCAAAAAAGCATAGTTTAAGTTTATAAAATTATGTTATAACAATAATATACAATAGCGAAAAAAGAATTTTTGTGTTACAAAAATCACGTTTAAAACTAATACTATGAATTATTATTTATATAATATATTTATACCTCTGCCCAACGACATCAATGATAATGTATTTTATGATGCATTTATTATTTGAATAATTATTGTTTGATGGTGAAGATTTTTTTCCTAACCGTAAAACACCATTATAAATGATGATATACACGATGTAAAATAAGTAATTACAAAATAGTGTAGTATCTTTAAGTTTAAAATTATCGTTCTAGGTAATCGAATTTAATTTACGAGATTTTTAAATGCTATACGCGTCTATAAATAAATAAATTTTATAATAATATGAGAGTTTACCCGTTATATACCACGGAATATTGCAGCTCGTCTAAAAATGTACACGTGTATACTACATATATTCAAGTATATCAGCTATTAGCTTATTTTATTATAGACTTTTTTCAGTGACTGCACAGCAGCCAACTATAATTTTTATTAGAATATGTAAATATTACAAAAATGTGTATTATTATGTGGATTTATGACGTGTACCAATTTGTTTATTATTGAGTAGAATAATAAATACTGCATCAATCAAGTGCAAGTTTCCGGCCTATCAGTTAAGCTGTATTTATGCTCATATAATTACATAAGAACCTATGTTTATAACTATAGGATACTGTATAGTCGTATCAAATAAAAATTGTATCATAGAGATAGACTGTGTTTATTATAAGTATATTTTACATGTATATACCTACAGAGTGATTCAATATCCTTGATTATAACCATCTTTTGTCGTTTAATAATTTATTTATTCTAATTGTGATTTTTTGGAATATTTAAGTAGATATAGTTCTTATATTTAAAAATTATAGTGTAAAAACCGTATTTTCATATATTCATATTTTTATACTATTTAAGAAACAGCTTCCTTTTGAAAAAACAATCTTTTTATTTTTCGAATGAGAAGAAACTATTTTTATTTGTACATTTTTAAGTATGGTATTTTTACCCGTAGTTTTTTTTTTATGATGATACAATTGAATTAAAATTTGAAATTTTCTTGAGTTATTAAACTTAATTTAGGTATTAAAGTTATAAATCCTATGTATATTGGTTTTATTTAAAATATATTATGTAATATTAATAATTAATCATCAGAATTTTATCAAATTCATAATCATTGAAAAAAAGGGGTAGATCATCCTTAAAGAATCACTCTGTATATTGTCATGTATACTCCATCATAGAGTACTCACAAAATGAATATAAAAATATAAAGACACATACACACATATATATATATATAACTGATAACTCGAAAAGAATAAGCGAAAAAACTATGAAAAGAATATTTAGTGTACTGCAGTATATAACAGCTATTATTTATTAATTTATTATACATTTTATCCTATAATATCTATAAATCTCTAGATGCATTAGGCAGTCATAAAATTACTAATTAGTCATCCCTGTCTAATATTTTTCATTATTTTGACATGACGTTTAAACCGACTACAGTCGACTTCAATACTATAACGTACGTATAAGCGTGCGTGTGTGTGAGTGAGGCATTATGTATAAAAATATAATATATAGATATCGACGAACGCCCCTTGGAAACGGATGGGCGGGACTTGTACGAGCTGAAACAAGTGTCCCGCGTTTGGCCAGGGATCGACGGGATTATTTGTTGCAGAAACATTCGGTTACGACTAAACGACGAGTGTACACCTCGATCGTACCATACAATTCAAAGTAACTCCAAATATTTTTTTTTTCCAATTTTCGGTGGATTTTACTGTGAAAGACAACCAATGGTAAAATAGTATTCCGCGTGTCTATAACCCGTATCTTCGTGTAAAACAGTGTTCATCGTCGTCTACGCGTCATGACGAGCGATATAATCAACTATTCTTCGCGACACAATTATCAGCCGAACTATTCAGGTAAGTAATTACATTTTTTTTTTAATTAATCAGAAAATATACGTACGTTTGAACAAATAAAAAATGCTATGTATAATAGGTACCTACATTTTTGCGAGTTATTTAAAAGTTCTTAACTTTGATTCATCTTTAAAAATAAACTGTTTTTTTTTAGCATTCAATGTGTAACATACCGTTTTAACTAAATTTAAGAATGTTAATGTTAGCATAGTTATCAAAATCTAATACAAACATCTACCAGAAATATTAAATGTTTAAATGTTTATTCCGTTGATCATAAAGTATAAACATTGTAATTTTACTTTATACATAAATATTCACACAATCGATCCTATAATCTCTAGGAATACGATGTTGTATAATTTTCAATATTATATATAGTAAAACTGATAGTAAAACTGACATATATTTTGTCAATATTAAATATAAAAAAATATTATCTGAACACCTATAAATTATAATGCATCGTCATTTTACAGATGTACCCTTATATAAAAATAAAAAAAATTATTTTAACTAACAAATTCGACGACTAAACAATTTAATATATTAAATACTAATATTCATATAGATTTTTAAAATTATTATTGTAAGTATAGGTACATACAAATTAAAAATAATTAAAATAATTCTTATTTAAAAAATTTAAATTATCCAAACATTTACATTTAAATCCAATAAATATATATGTGTAATATACGTAAATTGTAATTAAGTATCATCTCTATACTGGACTCATTTAATTTAATTCAGCCCTATAGAGACGGTGTATATGTTACGGGAAAAGTATACAATTTGGGCATTTCTACAACAGTGGGCATTACTTAAAATGACCTTCTTATATTGGACGATTAGGTTAGGGTAAATATATTGAATAAAATATATTTATGTTATAATATTTGTATCATTAAAAAATAAAATTATTTTTTTTATTTTTGTATCGCTTATTTTTGCATGTACTGCTTCCGTGGAATTTTTTTACTTGGTAAAAAATAAATTATTTGAACTTTTTTTGACAAATCATTTAAATCTGTGTTAAAATGTCCTATATTTTAATTATAAGTTAGTACGCAATTGAACTACACTACACAAATGAATCGTGGTTACTAAAAAGTTAATTTTATGAGAATTAACTTCATAGGCATAACTAGACCTCTAAAACGTTTCTTTAAAAACGATAAGAACAAATGAAAAAACACACTAGCTAATCCAAATCTATAAATAATAATCAATACTTAATCTAGTTCTAATATTTTGACAATAATTTACTATTAAATATTATCTCTATTGCCCAATATAAGATGGCAATCTTATATAATGCCCGGGCGTTGTAGAAAATGTCAAAAGGTATACAGGTACTTTGCCCATAACATGTATACTGGGTGTAATGTGTATATATACTCTTCCTAGTTATATTAGATTTTTATACATAAATAATATTTTGTTGAGAAGATTCAACTAAAAAATATAGTTATGTGTTACATTTATCAAATATTGTAAAAGAATATAGTAAAATTCACAACAATAAACAACTATACAATAATATTAACAATAATTATATTTTATATATTATAAATTATAAAATACATAATTGAATTCTATATATGCTATATAGAGATTGTGGTTACACTTCGTGATTAATATAATAAATTTAATTCATTATTATGCAAGCACAGTAAAAAATATTATCTTAAACTGGTAATATTCAAACGATATTGGGTAGTGTTCATAGAAAAATCAAAAATCGAGAGAATAAAACTACAGTTAATGTCAAGGTTATTTTCAGGGTTTTGCACTCAGAATATGTATTTTATGTGGTAAATTTTCAAACACCGGAATAAAAAAATTGAAAAACATTCGATCGTTAATAACCGTTTAGTTTAGGAAAAATCCAAAGAAAAATTAAAAGTTACTAGATTTCAGAATTTCAAGCATATTTGTGCTTAGTTGTTGTTATACTATTATTACATTAAATTATTTTAAATTATTCCTTTGATAATAATTATTTTGAAAATCTAATTACAAAATCGATTTAAAATTCGCGTGAAACATGCAAATTAAAAAATAACGCGAGTTTCGGGTGTGATCTTTTAGCGGTTTTACGGGTTCGGGTTAAGGCTGGTGCAAATCCTCAATTATTACATTATGACAGTAGACGGTCGTTTATATTATATCGTAATCACCTCTCAAAACATATGAATTTCTTATTCTAATCGCTTATCATTAATAGAAAGGTTATACACCATAGTTGTCTCCGACGATCGAGTGTACTTGATATAGTTATTATCTAGTTGTTTCCCATACAGAATTAAATGTAGGTACATAGTGGTTCAAAAACTTCACTAAAATATACCACGCATAAATAAACGTGTTTATGATGTGCCATGTGCACATAAATGTATTGCAATCGTGAAAAACTAAACTCACTGCAGTAATAATAATACATATTATAATAATATTATATACACGATAACGGTGGACGAAACGATGTAAATACAGTGGAACCTCGATAACTCGAACTTCTGTAAGTCGAATTTTCGATAACTCGAAAGAATGTGTTGGCCCCTATACTTTGTAACATATCATGTGTGTGACCTCTGTAAGTCGAATTTTCGATAACTCGAATTTTTTTTTCACCCCCAACCAATTCGAGTTATCGAGGTTCCACTGTATGTAATATTATTTTGGCGTTGCAGTCAAACAAGAATGCATGACGGCCATCGGCGCGGCAGCTGCGCCGCCGTCGTCGTCGTCAGCAGTGGCCACCGACGGGCGGTACGTCGTCCAGGACCTGTCTCCGTCGGCCGCGTCCTACTGGATGCCGGGCGCGGAACAGCAGCAGCTAGTGACCTGTGTCGTCGGCCACCCGATCGGTAGCACCGCTTCGTCTTCGTCGTCGTTCGTGGACGACGAGTCCACGTCGTACGAGGATATTACGTACAACAATTACGGGCCATCGTCGGTAGCCGCGTTGCAGGCCTCCGCCGTGGCCAACTGCGATTACGGTGGCCTCTACGGTCATCATCTGCATCAGCAGCAGCAGCAGCAACAGCAACAGCAACAGCAACAACAACAGTTGCAGCTGCAACAACCTTTGATGCAGTACGGCAACAACGTCGGTTACTACGACGGCGGCGGCGGTGGCGGCGGTGGCGGCGGTGGCAGCGGTTACCATCAGCTCGGTCACTTGCAGGGCTACGACGAAAAGCCGGTGGCGTACGACAACAACAACGCGGCCGACGTTTGCGACATGAATTCCGCAGCAACGGCCGCCCCAGTGGCCGTCGCTTACGACGACCCGTACGCCGCGCCCGCCGTGCAACAGCTGGATCGACTGCAGCCTCTAACACCTCAGGTATGCACGTGCTTAATTTTATGTCACGTTGTACGTGGACTCACAATACCTAACTTTATTTTAATGATTGCCATATCTGAAAACTGATATTGAGTTTAGTGTTGAAGTTAGTTACTTTTGTGCAAAGTTAAACTTAACGCGAAAATGAAAACGATTATTATTATGTAAAATATATTTGTGTTAAAAACTAAAAAGTCGACGAATTCACGATAATCAATTTAATAGAATCATATGACTTTAAATCTATTGAACATCTCTTTCATGTTCCGTATCGTTATTTTTTACGGTATCTTTCGACTTTGTTGAACTATAGGTATATATACTTCTGGGTTTAGATACAATATGATATGTGGTTGTGGTATTAACCATTAGAATTTAAAAATTGTAAGATTTTTACCAAACCAAATTTAATCCAAAGTTAAAATATCTCAAATTTTATGTCACACGTGTCTAAATATATGATAATATTATGAAAACATGATGGATAATATTAAAATTAAAATCCGTTGAAACACTATATGACACAGTACACAAAAACGAATTGTATAGCTTTCATTATCGATATTCTATAGGTATACTACGGTATATCAATTTTACCTAAATGTATAATGTGAATGTGTGTTAGAATTCTATCCACAAAATTTGTATAATAAATAATATTTAAACACTAAGCATCAGTTTCTAATATATCCAATAATACTAAATTTAAAAAAACACTAAAAAAAACTTAACCGGTTTATAAACAATATTTGGTTGTCTAGGTATAATCAGTCCCTTTTGGCTTTTTACGCGACCGGAACTGTCGGGCAACAAAATAAATTGCAAAATCCCCATTTCTATATGATATGCGTATATATATTATACGGCCCGTTTCAATTTACCCACTCATTCTTTTTTTTACTTTCCGGGTTAGGTAAGACTTGGGTTTTTATTTAATGGGTTTGGATTTATGACTACATATTATACCCACTCCAACACGTGTAGTGTATCCCACACTGCTGCAGTGTTACACTATACCATATCTGTAAATGATATATCATATATACATATGTACACGGTATCCGATCCCGAAAAGGTGCAAACCATCTCGAAAAAACGTACTATTTTCGGTTAGCTGAATAGTTTTAATTATTATTTATGCATAAAAGTAATAGTATACTCACTCACACATGCGCTAAATGCATCACGCGTGTAGTTGAAATGCCACAAAAAAATAATTAAAATAAAGGAATACTTTTTTTAAATCAAAAATCTTAAAAAGTAATTAATAAAGTTTTAGAACTCGTTTCCTCGTTGTAAGCAGATTGTACTTTATCGTTTAGTTTTCGTGAAAAAGTTTTTTTTTAATATTTACGGTTTTTGAGCGCCTGAGATGCGATTTGTTAGGTACGTGGAAATTTTTTTTTATGAACATAAAATAATATGAATTCTATTTATATTGAACACGCAGACCCAAAGTTTATGTTCAGCTTTTGTCTCTTATTACGTACGATTTAAAATTCTCATTGCAGTTTTAACGATTAATTTAACCAACTCTCGAATTATTGGAAGGGGGGCCAATATGAATACCACGTCATTGAGCGCAGTTTTATCAGTCTATATATATTATGTAAAAATTGTTTTTATTTGAATATTGAGAGAACATCATAAAATTAAATGAATAGTATAATAATATGTCTGCTTCCAATATTGTTTAATATATTATATTATTATTTACTTTATAACTAACGAAAGGGTATAGATATCTAATTGTTGTACGATAAATTTATCATAAGACATAAATTATATTTACTTTTTATAGGCAATAAGTAATAGATTTTTGTACTCAGACCCAATCATAGGCTCAAAAAATCGATGGGCTAAACTTAATAGCAACTCCTGAAACATAAAAATCAATAAAGTTATTTATACATGAACTGTACAAGTCATGACTGAGATAAATATACTATACTATAATAACATATTATATAATATATTAGGTACCTATATAAGTTAATGAATAACTTACCTTTAATCAGCCAGTGTGTCTTCGATCGATCGTTGTAATATAATCGAATTATTTAACAACCCATCGCCAAATTCTGCAGATATCAAAAACAATATTATATTAAACCGCTTTCTTTTAACAGTATCGTTCTGCACAACAAAACGGCAATAACAACAATAACAACAACAACGTCGTCGTCGCCGACAACGACGACAACGACCGCGACGACGACGCAATAGACAACGACGACAACGATAAAAGACTGCAACTGCGACGGCGACAACAACTGCAACAACAACAGCATCTTCTGCAGCAACAGTGCAGTTCTTCAGAGTCTGCACCGGCCACTCTGATGCCGGCCGCGGTGCCTGTGGTGCGCATCGTTAAGCGCAGGAACACGGCCAACAAGAAGGAACGGCGGCGGACGCAGAGCATCAACAACGCATTTTCCGACCTCCGGGACTGCATACCCAACGTACCGTCCGACACCAAACTGTCGAAAATCAAAACGCTTCGTTTAGCCACATCCTACATTGGTTACCTGATGACCGTGCTGGACAGCGACGACCCGGACACGGACGGTTTCAAGGCCGACCTGTCCGCACACACGTCCAAGCGGTCGTTGCAGACGTCACACGTGCAGGTCGATAAGACCCCTCAGCAGCAGGTTTGTACATGACAATAAACGTTTTTGGGGTTGTTAATATCTGGTGCACGAAAATTGATAAAATGTATAAATAAATATCAAATATATGTGTACTGAGACAGTTTTAAAAATGTACAAAGTGTATAATCAAACGGCGAAAATACAATTTTCAACAGTCAATTATTCGATATTTAGATCATAAATCCAATAAATAAGATAAACGTAATGGTTGTACGCGTTGATGAATTTTCTTCGATGCATTTACTTTTATAAAGCTTATTAGTTATTTAAGGCGTGAAAGCTTAAAATTCATAACGTTGTATTGACTATCACACGATTGAGCATATAAAACGTTTTTTTACGACATGGTCGAACAAATATGCCGACAAAATATAAGAATACCTACTGCTTAAATCACCGCTCAAATTATATTTCAAATTTTGGGGCGAAATGTATTTGCCAGTGACTATTTTTACCTAGGTGTTGTTTTCGGTCGGACTATATGTATAGGTAACCCGTTATATAACATTAAAGTATTATTGAAATGTTCATAGTTATTTCGGAATAGGCTTTCAAATTTTAAATTTTGTATTCTGATTTTGTAAAATGGTACACTAATAAAATAAAATAATAGTTAAAAAATAATAAAATAGTTCCGTCTATGTTTCGGTTAAAATATTTTTTGAAACACAATATAACTCGAGATTATATCTAATGCAAATTATAGTTGTCTTTACCAATATAATGTTATATTGTGTATTTTGAATTTATGTTCAACAAAATTGTAGGTATTCACGATTATTAATATTTATAGGAATAATTGATCTATTGCCACAACTTGAAGTAAAAACTAAATGTTAGATTAAATTATATGTTCACTATATAGTGATAAGTGATATTCAATTATTGTAGTGGAAATAATATTTATATCAACAAAAAATTAAATGTTTATTTCTATTTAAATTATAAAACTACTTGTATAATTGTGTAAGATTTAAATTGAGAGAAAGAACTATAATATTTGACATTCTGTGAAATACGTATACAATATCATGTTTTCTGTGTGTAAATAATAAAAAAAAATCCCCGTAAATCCTACATTATATTTTAAATATATACATGTTATATACGTATTATACGGACGTATTAAATCTATCTGAAACATGAAATTATCTTCAACTTACAATATAGCTAAAGCTTAAATATTCAAAATTCGTGTAGCGAGAAACGATTTATTATGGTTATTTACAAACACATTTTTATAAAATAATTATTTGAACCCTTTTGACTATAAAAACGTTGTTTTAATTTATGAACAATGTTTTGTCACGCGGTTCTCATCACGACTTGAGAAAAAACTAAAATCAAACTTAAAAAAATGTGGATACATTTTTTCAAATGACAAAATTTTCTCAAAATAATATATCGCCTATAACATGCAAGTCGCGCGTGAATTTTTATTTTAATATCAACTAAAGCTGTAATAAGTTTTTAACAACACAGTGTTATAGAGATTTAATCGGGTATTTTTATACATAATATTTTATGTATTAGTTACTTTGTTTATACAATAATAGATGAAAAAATCATACAATACAATATATTAATACACCACTGTTATTATCAACGGGCTTGTCACATTACGGCTAAATTCGATTACCGTTTTTAATGTAGTCGACCGACGTTTGTTGCGCACGACCCAGCTCCAATGTAATTAAATAATATAATATTACAGCGCGCCGGCAATATCGCGGAACCCTAAATTATGATTACCCAGTGATATATTTATTATATGATTACCAGCAATCAGCTTTAAACCATAACCGTGTTTATACGCTACAATACACTTATAAGTTATAATAATATTATAATATCACCATTATATTATTATAGAATAGAATTGTCTGGGATGGCACCGTATGATATTGTGTAATATGTGTATAATATTTACATGTTAGACACGTGACACGTTGACACTTTGAAGGCGATATCTATTTATTATTATAATGACGACGGCTATTATAAACATAATATAATAATGTGCGCACACTACGGCAGCAGATTATTAAATAATAAATATTAATGCATATAATTTTTAGTAAGTATATCACTCATAAAGAGATGTACTAATGTTACATTGTTTCAAGTTTTCAACATTGGTCGAAGTTATCAAACCGAATCGTACTCTTGAAATTAGGCGTTTGACTGGAAAATTGAATTGATGAAATAAAAATTTAAGCCATGTTTTTTTACTATTATTAATACTTTAAGACTTTAATACAACGGATGTAAGAAAGTTATGTAAAACGAAATCGATATTGCAGATATTCCTAAATTATCAAAAGTTCATCAATATTGATATTGATATTTATAATTTATATTAGTATGTTGTGCATATTATAATAATATTAAAATATACGATTTATTTTTTATCGCATAGATGATGGTCGCCCGAAATCCTTTGAATCCTGCCAATGACCATCAACACCAAGAACATCAACACCACCACAAACGGAGCAAAGGCAGGACCGGATGGCCACAAGACGTTTGGGCATTAGAACTTAAACAAGAACAAGTGTAACGACGCGCTTGGTGCATGCCTTTTCGGAGACTTTTTTTGTTATTAAAGAATGATCAAATCATGTAGAGACAGAAATATTAAATGTTATGTCTACGTGTAGGATCACCATTGCCGATCCTAAGTGTATATGTAGTTAGAAGTAATAAATTATCAGTTATAAACATAGTATACTAACTATGTGTATAACAATATACATGAAAGCATACACAAACTACAATATGCGGCATAAGTTTATTAAATATTTATTCTTGCAACGATTCATCGCGCTGAAAAACCATGTTATTATTAATACCTAAGATTGCAGTTAAACATATTTTTATTTATTTTTGTTTTTTGTGTACAACACATTTAAACCACAAAATTGCCACGAAAGTAGCTAGTTTATTATATATAGAACAAAATATGTCTTTATATAAAAGTAAAAAAAAAAAAAAAAACAGAAAGTCAATGGGTCAATCCTCGCGGCAACACACAATATACGAGTATTATAGACATTTTTTAGAACACTGCTGCAATTGAGTCCTGTGAATATATTACGAGGGTTTCGTTTCCCGTCGTTTCGCTTTATAATCGAGAGAAATAAGATTGGACATGTTACTATAATAGGTATATTATATTATATTATATTTATCATTTGTTTTTTTTCTTTAATAAATCTTTTGAATATTTTGTAATTATTTCTATACCATACGATGTCATTATATTATATTAAATATTTAACGAGATGCATATTATTATCATTACTATTGTATTTATATAAATTGTAAATATTATACATCGAAATATTTGAAAATATAGGTACGTTAATCCTATATAAATGTATTATTAAATGATATAATATATTATTTTCTATGTGTTTTACATGTGACAATATTTTGCATTACGATTTGTTGATTTCTAATTTTTTATTTAACATACTTGGAAATGTATATAGCTGAATGTTGTTAATTAATAACGATAAATTCACTTTCAATTTTAACATTTTAAGTAGGTATAGTATAAATATTATATATGTATATAATATGGATAATTATTAAAACATTTATAAAACTTATAAGTTTCATCCGATATGGTGTATTAAATAGTAAATACTATTAATCGCTCCAACCGTCATAAATCGTGACTCGTACAGCATCCTATTTAATATTGAAGAACAGCTATTTGTGCTTATTAAAAACAAAATATGATAATAACAGTCAAGTTATTATATACTCACGTTTACAAAGTGATTTTTACACTAACTTTTTAAGGTTATTTTCATGTTCTTGAAAAAAAATTGTTCATACAATAATAATTTAATAATATTTAATATGTTTAAAGTATTGTTTTATATTATAAATTATAATAGATACATGTTTTTAAAGTTATTCAGGGTGAGACTCGAAACTCGACAATGCTTTAGCATATTTCTGAAAAATGACATTAAATAAAAAATATATTTGTACACCAATTTTTTGTGTACGTCATGCAAACTTATTTTTTGGAAGGGGGAAATTTATTTAATCCTATTTACTGCTTATATGGAAGCTTAATTTTTATCTTTAATACTGCGTCGTAACTTATATTACATCTTGCCTATTCTATAGTGTTGGGCAACGATATAATTTTGTGTATCGATATCGTTCAGATTTTTCCGATATTTTATCGCGATATCGTTATTTGTACGATATCGATATCGTATCGAAAATATAATTTTATGTTTACCTAAACAATTAAAAAAAAAACTTTTCGTAATAATTTGATTATTAATCAGTAATCACTATACGATGTTAGAAATGTTCGAAAAATAACGGACGTTTACATCACACCGACGACACAAATTACACTGTGAATTATGGAATATCCAGTGGTAGTGTGGTACTATACCGTATTCCTCTTAAAAGCCAGCTAAATATAATATTCAATAAAAGTTATAACATTGTTGGCAATATAAAAAAAACCTGTTTCCTTTTTAGATAACATTATAATGGATTATTAATAGTGTACAATAATTGACATTTCACTGGAACACGCGTAGTGTACACCAAACGTTATCAGCTGACACCTATTATTATTTATTATAGCTTAAAACCTACAAATAGTAAATACTAAATAGTAAATACCATGTATTTTTCTTGAAAAATATTATTTTCGATATAACGATATATCGTACAATACAAAATAATATCGATGTCGATAATTTGTCACGATATCGATATCGTATCGAATTATCGATATCGTTGCCCATCACTACTATTCTATATATTAAATAGACAAATTGTAATTTAATATACCTATGAATATAAATACGGAGTTTTCGATCTAGGGGTGAATTTTTAAAACACGTGTAATTATACAACATACATACTTAATTTGATGCTTTATATTTTTATTTAATTACTTATGCAATAATGTGCCGACGTATTATAATACAGTATGTATACTCATGATTTACTTATTACCTATATTTTTGTACATTGTGAACTTATATTTTTAGCTACTATGTTATATAGGTGATAGTTTTGGTGATTGATTTGGTCTACTGATCTTCGGTGTTAAATTTAAATTTTCAAAAAATAAGACATTATAGACATAAAATAATATAATATTACTCTCATTTAACATAATTATTTAGAAATTTTTTATGGAAAAAAAACATCATAAGAACTACAGGTTATATAAAAAATTAACTTTTAAAATGTTTTAGGGATAGATAATTATTAATAAATAATAAATAATGACGAAAAGTTATGAAAAACAACTATTAAAATATATGAAGGGATGACATCATCTCTCTCCTCGTCATTTATGTCAATAACCGCTCTGTATGACGACTGGTCCTTTTTGAATCTGAGCGGAATGATAAATGTATTGATTTTCGATGATGCCGGTTTTTTATTTATTTATTTTTGTACCTGAAGACTACAATAAAAAAAATAGTTCGATTATCAACTTAAAAGAAGGTAGTAAAAATTGAATTTATTTGGTACTTTTCGGAGGTCAAAATTTAAAATTCTAAGTACTTTACAAAATAATTGAAGGAAAAAAGCAATATTTGTTAAAATGTTAGTATTATTAGTTATTAGATATTAAAATAATAGTACAATTCAGTGACCAAAAACGACTTTTTATTTATAAATACTTAACTATTTTTTTTTTAAATTTTAATATTTTAAACATACTTACAAAAAGTCCCAAGCCTTAATTCACAACGCTAATTATTTGGAAAAATATTTTCCCAAAAAATTAGTGCAACTTGCTGTGAAACGGATCACTCTGTAATCTGTGTACATAAATATTATGGTGCTATTATTATGCTAAATAATATTGTTTTGAAGGGTTCCACGCGTGCACGGCAAAACACACACACACATATAAATTTATATATGTAGACGTACCCCATTTTTTAAATAAGACCTCATTAAAAAATAATAATGCACGAATCACTACTCGACTAGACAATATTTTATGTGTCTATCTATGTACAATAACATGATAATCTATATTTAATTTATAAAAGGCAATGTGTAATGCTTGGAAGTTGTCGTTTTATTTTTATTTTTTTATTTTTTTATGGGCTATTATTATTAGATTTATTACTAAATAAGATAAAAATTAGTTTTAAAATACTATGAAAAAATATTTAAAGCTAATACAGTGCATATCTTGTGATTTTCTTTCTTTTAAAGGCATAATCCTTGAGTATTTTTTTAATACGAATTGTATGATTTGTAATAATACAGATACAAAATGTTAAAATGAATATATATTTATATTAATTTAGATAAGCCTTATAGTTGTCACTATAAATTGTAATGTGTTTTTCACGTATCTAATCGATGTAATTATTCGTTTTATATTGTGATTAATAATTATCATCTCTAATAGTTTTAAATATATACATGATTACACATATAATTATAGTTATGAGATGAATAATTGTGTTAATTATTTTAGAAATCGTGTTTTAAACATTTACAAATGAAAGTATCTAATACTAATACACAAAGCTAGCAAGCTTCCCGATGCTCCATCCTCATACAAACCAATAAGCCTCCTTTCAACTTTCTTCAAAATTCTGGAAAAAATCATTTTAAAAAAAAATTTGTCCAATATTAAATAAGAAAAAAATTATTCCAAACGCATAATTGGTTTTAGAAACATTCTTCTTTTCACCAACTACACAGGCTAGTTAACGATGTTCCCTCATCCTTTGCAGATTGTAAATATCTTTTATAAACAAAAAAAAGTATCTATTCTATTAATATTACATAGTTTTAAGCGCATAACCATTACAAAGATTTAAATTAATTGTTAAAAATACAATAAGTTAATTTAGATTTCCTAAAATTTAGAGAACTCTTAATGTAACCGTTAATAGTTATACAAATAATATTTATACACCTACTAACAGTAATAAAAAGCAGGGCCGCGTTAACCCAGGTGCAAAAAAAGTATTTGCTCCAGGCGGTAAATTTTGTAAGACGACAAAAGATTTAAACTACCTATTTGAAAAAGAAAGAATGACAATGGTTTTTTATAAATATTTTTTTTAGTTTAATACTTAAGAAAATTTTTAAAAATGAGTTTAAATCATTTCAATATTCACTTTTTAATTTTCATTAAAACTCTACTTATAATATTATAAATTGTCTAATTCCTGTAATAAGTATTAAACGATACACGTAATTACATGCATCACACATTTAAAAACACCTTATACTTTAAAAAAGATGTAATACTAGGTTTTTAACACAAAAAAAAAAAATCAACAGGTGGCTGAGGGCCATAAAAGAAAAAAAATATTGCATATTTTTCCTTTTTTTGTCCTCATAGTTCTGGTACCTCGTCTAATAGTGTATATGAAGTTTCGAACTTCAAAACTTATTCCTTCGCCTAGATATCGCACAAAACGTGGTTTTCTTAAAAAACGATTTTTCAGGGCATTTTATTGTAAAATTTTCAAATATTATATAAATTATTACATGAATAAGTAGGGCGACAGTACATCAAACATTCTAGCCTATTATAAAGATTTTTATAATATTCACTAACTAAAAATCGTAATATTTGATTAAAAAAAACCCGACAAAAACCGACAATGGACTATTTTCGAAAAAAAAATTCCTTTTTTTCCTTTTTTTTGTGCTCTAACATCCAGAACCTCCAAAAATAACATTATATCATAATTACGATTTGAGCCTAGATAAAATTAATTTCACTGGGATTGAAAAAATGAAAAATGAAACTTTTTTAGCGATAATTGGCACTATTAATATTCCATTAAATTCAAGAATGGAAAATATATTGAAATCAATAATAGATTTGTATTTATATTAAACTTAAAAAATGAGAACTTGGACAATATTTGAATAAAAGGTAAAAATCTTGTTACCTATATGGTAATTTATAATAAGATACAGATTTTGAAAAATAATTAATACAATTTAAAAGCATTATAAAAGATTTTCCAATAAAAGGACAATTACTATTTGCTTCATTATATAAATTAATTATTACATCGTCTTTAGAAACATCGTTTCCAAATATAGATATAGTGTTAAGAATTATTTGTACTTTATCTTCTTTAAATGCAAGTGGTGAAAGATAGTTTTCTGTCTTGAAACGCGTAAATATTATTTACGATCATGTTTAATCCATGAAAAAATATCTAATTTGTCAATATTATGTATTGAATTTGATTTGGTTAAAGATATGAAGTGGAAAAATTAATACATAAATTTGCTATAACAAAATCCAGAAAAAAAATATTTAAATAGTTACTTACAGAATAATTTCATTTTTTTCAACTATGTATCATAAGACAATAACGACTTTGACTATAATATTGTAAATCTATTAGGTATTATAGTTATTTAATTTATTAATGCTCTTACTCATAATATATTTTCAATTTGAGTTAAATCGCTTTTTATCATATCATCATATTGATATTGTTTCGGAAAAGATTGTAAACACGTGGTTACTAAACGTAAATATGATGAATACTTGAGCACAACACAACATTTTTCGGTGTTTCAAGACTGCGAGAACGCTCATTTCACTGTGCCGAATACCAACGATTGACTTATACGATTAATGATGAATATTCATGTCAATACAATCATCATAGGCCATTACACTTTGGTCATTTCATATCGTTGAAAATAGATGACGTGTATAAAATAAGATAATTGCAACGGACAATATCCAAAATAAAGTATACAACTGTTTTATTGGACCCGACTATTGACGTATCAGTTCAGTCATGAATATAATTCCAGACCTGAAATGAGAAAAATTCTGTGACCGAATTATTACATGACTTTGCTTTTTGAAAGGAAGTGTCATACGGTACTCGTTCACATAATAACTGTTATTATGGCTGTTTTAATGTAATTCAAACATTATACATTTATTCGCCATTTATACTGTGGTCTTTAGTCGGGTGGGAGGGAGGTTACAGGTGTTATAACACCCCTTCAGCCGTGGTATACTAATGTCTTATAAATATCGTATATACGCATTATATTTATCAAAACAAAATGTATATAACGATAACAATGATGTAAAGCACTAAAGCCGGGACCTGACATTAAATATTTCCTACTATTTTTCGATTTTTACAAATATTAACTACTTAACCAGTAATAACTGCAAGCGGTGAAAAATATTTTTCCTCATTACGACGCTTGAAAACATATCTGAGAAACACAACTGGTAAAAATCGTTTGAACGGCTCGCAATTTATGAATATTCATCGAGATTTAGTCGTAACCACAAACGAAATAATAGATACACTAGCTTTAAAAAATCGACGCATTAAGTTACCTAATTTAAAAATAACATTTTGTTTTTATTAATAATAATAATATTTAAATTTTTTCTCGTAATCCATAATAATTATTTCTCACTAACCATCTATTCACTTGTAATGCGTCTGTAAAATAAAGTGTAGGTAAAGTTATTAATGTTATGAGATAATTTTTCAATTAATTTTAAATAACCCCCCCCCCCCCACCCTTTGAAATTCCTAGCTACGAGCCTGATTTTACTTATACACCGAACGAGACGGACATTTCTTCTGAATTCGATTATAAAATCAGTTGATATAACATATATTATATATATATCTGAACAATAAAAAAATGTAGGAATTTTAAAGGCAATATATAAATGTGTGTTATTACTTATTAAAGGCTTCGCCGACGTTTTTGCAGTCGGCCTCAAAAAATATTTCTAAAGATGGCCTCAAATTTGCCGTGATAGTAACAGTCATAAATAACCATTAAAACGGATTCATATCAACAATAATTATAACTGTCGTTATCGTTTTTATTAGACTACGAAAAATACTGACTACACTAAATCATAATATTATCATATAATATATTATTTAATGAACGTGCGAGTTCCGTCCTTGTCCCATCGTACGGTTCAAAGCAGCGCGTCGTGCGGCCCGCGGAAATCGTCTACACGGCCTGATGTCGCGCCGCCGCCGATTCGGTGGCCGCTCGCAGTGACGAGGCCTGCAGCTGTTGTTGTTGCTGTTGCTGTCGCTGTTGTCTGAGCAGCGTCGCGTTCGACTGCTGGTACAACGCGTTTCTGGCGTCCCGCCGGTACAGCAACGTTTCGCGGCCAAGCCTGGGCACCTGAGGCTGGTTCATGATCGCCTGTCGACCGAGACGCGGCGAGAACGGTGGCGAGTACGGCGGCGACCGGGCCGTATGCCGCGACCGCGACGCCGCGTCGTCGTCGTCGTCCTCCTCCGACGATCTGCCGTTCCTCGCGTTCTGCTTCATTTGAATCTGATTGTATACTGTCGGGAATAAAGCGAAAACGTAAGTACATTATTTTTCTTTATCTTTTTTTTTTTTACTAAAAAGTAGAGCCCCACACCAGTTTCGATCATCTATCCACCCACCCATCCACCCCGAGAGGACGAGTGTCGAGATAGGCCTCACTTCGCGTCATCAAATTCAATGTATTCCGCAATTAAAATACTTAAAAAATATAATGTGAAAATTACGATATAGGAAACAACGATCGTGTGCAAAACTTTTTTGTTTAACAAATAGTATGGCTATGGGTGCAGGTAATTTATATATAGCTACTTATTTTTAAACAAATAAATACGAAACTCGTTCAATAACAATCATTTATACGTAAATAATATCAGCATTAGGACTTTATAACATTTACATATTAATTGTTTTATTGCGGTTTAACAATTGTAAAATAACCAATTTAATGTTAATAACCAACGTTGGAACTATAATTTTAATTTGCATTTAAATGCGCATTTTATTGATACGTTTTTTGATGCTTTTAAAGCACATTTCTACTTCTTTAAAATTTTTGTCATATAAGTATTTTATATATCTCAAAGAGTGAACAGTTATATGAATATTTTTATAATCAACATTGTCGAAACACTCTAAACAGTGATGGCTATGATACTGTAAATGTAGTTATGATTATTCTAATGATTCATTATTATTTTACAAACGTTTTTGACAGTATTTATGCGAATAAAATTATTTTAATTATGTTTTGAATATGAAATTGTTTTAGATACTTAATATTTATATATATATATTATATATATTCATATAAGTTAACTAATTTTATAATACTTTTTTTCATATTAATATTTTCGTATTCAAATACTTTTTCAAAAAATAACATATTATATAATATTTAAATTATTCTTTAAAATACTGATACGCATTAATAATGTTTATGCTACCATACACAAGATTTAGTACAAAAACGCGCCCTCGATACCAAAAGAAAAAATTAGTCGGGTGATTATCACCATATATATGCATAAATAACACTTCACAGATCTATACTGCAGCCAGTGGTACAGCTGCACAGACGATCATATAACGCATTATTTACATTTAAGATAACGATTTGTTGTTTCTGCAGTTTGGGGCGTGAAACAGTAATAGTAATAATTATTATTATTAATTTCGCAGTCTGGCGCTCGCGTATTGCCAGACCATGCGTATGGCGATTTCCAGGAGGTTTCCAGCGTCACGCCCCCTCGCAGTGAAATCGGGTAGGCAATTTATCACGACTGTTTTAACGTTATTGTGATATAATTACTCAGCAATTTCTAATGTATTATGTCATGTATACGACGCGTGGTCTGCCGAGGGCGAGTGTTTATCGGTTATTACGGTGAAAAAAAAATGCGATAACTACGCTGCGACACAATTTCAAACGAAACAGCGGCTACAGCAGACCTCTAATATTATTCGTATATTATTTTAACTGTAATTATTGTGTCATTTTGTCATAATAATATATAAAGTACATATAAACACATGTTAACTGAAAATAGTACGGGAGAGAGTATGATAGAGATCAAGATTACCGATTTACTTCGTATAGGTATGTACGATATGAAAATATGAAATTAGTAGTTAAAAGTACAGTGATTGTTTATAGTTCGTGTGATGTACGTGCGTGCCCTGCAGTGGCGTAACCTCTCATAAATTATGTAAGTAATATGTTACTCACCAGAACCTGTTTTTTTATTGTGTTAACTTATTTTTAGTTTATAATATTTATCGTGTTGATACAAAAATGAATTGGGACATATAACTTGTAAACTTTGGATCGCGCGTTTTCTGTTAGGTAAGTAATTAATAAACACATAACGTATCTTACGATTTTATCTCGATTTTTTTGAAGTTTTCGATTATCCTGTGAACTCTAGTAATATTTAAGTATAATAGATTATGACACATTGATGCATATTTTGATATATAATAATAATAAATATGTGTGGATTATTATAAATATGAGATATAATTAATGTTTCTTTTTTTACTTCTTGTGAGTTGTGACAAATATCATACATACAATATACATATCACCCCCGTCCACGTCTACCGTATAATATGTACTTTGAATTTTGATTAGATTTTAGAGGTATATAAAAAACTATATTTACACACATCAAGCATATTATTATGTCGTGTATTTTGTATAGATAAAATTTTTCGGTGCAAAAAACGCAATTTAAAAAAATAGAGAATATAGAAAATATGTTTCAGGAATGTACCTTATGTAGTGAGTAATTTACTATACAAGCTGTATAATTTATACTACTTATATAAATGTGTATTATATACATGTTTATGCTTTTGACGATTTTCGTCAAAATTCTAACTTCAAAGATTATAAGAAATATTGTCACTTTATACGTATGTTTTATAAATTAACTTAATAAACATTTATGAAGATAACTGTACAATAAAGTTTTAATTGTTTTTTTCATTACATTTGTGCTTCAATAATTGTGAATCGATATATTAAAATGTGAGCGGGCACCACGAAACACGAATTTCGTTTTCTTCGTTTTTCTTAGCCGGACGTGCAGATAATAATTAATAATATTTTATTTAAAACTCAACTTGACATCCAGATGAATATTTCCTAGTATAATACTACTAATGCGTGTATACGATAAACAGAAACACTGAATATAACTCATTTGTATGTACCAAGACAATCCTCTTAAGTCGAACAGCGATTATATAATTTATTCATTGGTGGGCGGACAGCCGGTCTTCTTAAGTACACATGTAGTGAGTATATATAACACTATATGCGTATACATGATATAGCAGTAGCCAGAGAGTCGTTAAGGGGTGTGTTCATAACTTATATAATAACAAAATTTATTTTATGAGATCAATCAAACTGGGGGTGTGAAACAAAAACAAAGAAAAGAAGCATAAGTACGTTATGGCTATGTAGATCACATTACCATTATATATACCTCTAAGACTTACCATATACGTCAGGATTATTATTCCATTGATGAATATAAATGCGACGAAAATTCACTAAATAGAATATTTTACTTACTCAGTGAGACCACACATAGACACATACATACATTTTAATATAAATTTAATTGATTTAAAGATAAAATATGTTAGTTGACCACAAAATATCAAGAATTGTATTTAATTTATAAAATTCGTTAGTATTTTTCAGGAGTAATTTTCTTAAAAATTATCCGAGGATAAGATATAAAATACTTTTAGTCTAACACAACTATCTCCACTCTCCGGTGTTTCAGTATTTCGGTCTTAAAGATTTGGAGTATAAGATCATATAATAGCTATACAGATGACAAATTAACGTCCCAGGTCTCTTAACACTTAGTCCATCACTGTGACCAGAAAGTAGGTATTATTTCAGTATCATACCGATACAAGACAATCAAAAACAAAGGAAATTATTGGAAAAACGTATTTTTTAACACAATGTTAATTTGTTTTTTATCCCCTAATACCGTTATACTATACTCACAGGAATTATCGATGATCGGTACGAGCACCCACGGCATATTGTTGATTAAATTTGAGACGGCGGCCTGCTCTGCCGCCATCGACGTCGAACCCGCGGCCAACGGATCCTGCAGCGACGAAGCGGCCGGCGCGATCGCATTCCCGTCCACCGACTGCGCGACGCCGCCGCCGCCAAACGGCGACCCGCCGCGACGTTTCCTGCGGCCCAATCGCGGCCCAAACCATATGCCACCGTTGCTCGATTGGGTCGTGCCGCCCCGCTTGTCGGCTCCGAACAGCGCGGCCGTGGCCACACCAGTGGCCGGAGATCCGGTGCCGTAAAAGCTGGCGCCTCTTGTTCCACCGCCACCGCTTTCTCCCCGCCCCACACCACCGCTAACACCGCTGCTACCGCCTCCGCCATAGTCGTACCATAACAGGTCGGAGATGGGCCTCTGTTGCGCCGCTGCTGCTGCAGCATCGGCAACCACTGCCGAATAATCGTAGTCCAACTGTTCCATAAACTTTTGGGCTTCTTGTAAGTCTATGTAATAGTAACAACGTATAAGACTTGATATTTTGTACTGTCACACGAATACATGATGATAAATTTATTACAGTCATTACATTACAGATAATATAAAATTAACAACGCTCTCTTTAAATCGTCAACTTGTGCTGGGAGAGCAATTTAAATATAATTCAATGACTTTTCTACCTATTTCGTTAATAAAACCAAGTCAAAGTAATTGTATTAGGATTTTAGACATTCTTTATCAAAATCGAAATCGTATACAAATAATTATTAAAGTTATATTAATTAATTATTATCAATATTAATTTTCTATATAGTTTCTCGTACAATAGTTGAACATTGTGATCCAAAAGTAATCTTACCTATATCCAATATCCATATACCTAACGTTTATACTACCTTGTATTATAATAATTATAGTTCACAGTAAGGATCAATTTGTTATGGTTATATATTGAAAAAAAGCACATTTCTATAAAATAGTTTATCTAACTTACTATGGGTATATTATATATTATTATAGTTCATAAAATATGATATTTGAATTCAGGAAGTCAATCTTGGCAATAACTAGAGATTGAGCGAATTTAACTCTTTGGGGAGGGCTATATTTTGGTAGATTAAGTATTAAATTTAATTATTTTTATTGAAACTCTTGGATTCAAACTTAAAAAAAATTATAACGAAATAAAAAAATCAGTTTAGTCAAAAATTGATTTAGTGTACCTAAAAAATGTTTCGTTTTCTTTAATTCTTTGTTTATAGATTATAAAAATAGGACTGGCAAGTTTTTAATTTTATATCTATAAAGCACAAACTAAATCCCAATTAACTATCTAAAACCACTATTAAATTTGAAAATCAAAGCATTTGATTGGCTACTTATGATGTACATAAAAAAAAATATATGTATAAATAAATACATATATTTTTCAATAGGTACCTCATTTTTAATTATTTAATTTACTGTTTCTCGATCTCTTTTCAATACCATAAAAAACCTTAAGTCTGTTTAACCAACATCCAAAACACAACATAATTTTCACAAATTATCTGATTATGGTTATTGCCATTAGTTTTTTGCTTATCTTCTTGTATGAATGCAGTTTTCAAATCGATAAACTGGAAGCATCCTTCAATATTTATCAGTGCATCACACATCAAGTATTCATCAATTTATACAAGCTAACCAGTAATTTTTTAAATAGACTATTAAGGATATCTGATATCTCTACAAACATGCATCCAGTAACGGATAGTTTTTTGACATCTTTCAGTCAATATCATTATTTAAACAACTAAAATATCAGTACCTACCTAGTTCAAAGATACACTATCTCTATAATTTGACTGAAATTCAGTATACTTAGTTTCCGGTCTTCATAAAAGTAAACAATGGACTTTATTTTCGATACAATTGTCGATTTGGTAGTTTGGCAGCAATTTTTGTACACTTGAAAACTTTTAGTACTTTTCCTCGACGATTGCTACAGTACAGTTTCAGTTTCAGTTTTACCATATTTGTGGCTTTATATTACACAAGATAATTGGTCATAATCTTACAAGTATTTAACTGTGGATTTTCGGTTGAAAATTTACTATTAAACTCTTTTACAAACATTTTAAATACCTAGGTAATAGAAATACTTAACTTGTATTAATCGTTTTAAAATTTAAAACAAAGTATTTAACTTATAAAACAGGCACACAGCATGTCAGCATATAATACAAATCAACTAAATTGATACCTAATTACATAATACAACTTATGCCCTATAAGTATTAAGTTACATTTATTATTTATAATATAGAATAATTTTTGTATGAGACTTAAGAAAAATAAAATTAAAAGGTTTAGTGGTTGGTAGCACTGGGACAAATTAAGATGTAATGATTATAGCCCGGTACGCTATCATTTTATCAATTTTACAATTCAATATTTTCCTGTATGTGTTCGCACGTGAATTTACAAATTTTTTAATTGACACTTGACAGTGATTTATTTAAAAATTTAATCTTAAAATATTTACTACAATGGCAGATTTCTTTAGTAATAACGGTGACAATTTTGATTTGGGTTCTTCGTCAGGTGGTGGTACCGACAAATTGAAAGCTGATGAAATACAAAAAGTTATAATGATGGAACAACAAAAAGCCCAATTAAATGCTCAAGTAAAATAGCTATTCACACGCTCTGCCTTCTTCATTTCTATTATCATTAATTAATTTTTTTTAGATACAAGAGATCAGTGAAATGTGTTGGGAAAAGTGTGTGGATAAACCATCAGCAAAACTTGGTTCAAAAACCGAAGCATGTCTTTCAAATTGTGTAAAAAGATTTTTTGATTCTTCAGTTATCATTGCTCATAGATTCAATCAGTTAATTCAAAGGTCAAACACTGGTTAACCAATTATACACGTTTAAGTGTTCTATTCTTTATTATAATGTTAATTCTGTAGTAATTGAGCAAGAAACTTTTCAATATAAATCAAGTAATATAAATTGTTTTTTTATAGTTCTGTATTGTACATACCTATAGTTTGAGTGAAAATTGCTTGTTATATTATTTGTGTTCGATATTGTTCAAATTAAAATAAAATATAGTTATTATATATTCATTATATTTGTTATAAATAATTAACAAATGTTTATTATTTTTCTTTTCAATTTGTGTTAATATTCCCAAACATTTTTGAAAAAATCAACTAGTCACATCATTAAATATTAACATTTAATTTTCTTAGTATTTTAAATGATATCAATTGCTAATCTATAATAATTACTTAAAATGTAATTAATTTATCATAAATGTATAAATAATTGTTTCCACTGCCATAACATAACATAACAAACTTTATAAAAATGTATAAGATGGTTTTCAATAGAATACTTTTTAGTATTTTTGTCTTGTAATATTTAACTCGCAACATATTAGTTTGAAACTTCAATTAAAAATCTAAAAATAATGTTTGAAGACAACAGTTAACAGTTTGTCTCAAATTAAAATATTAATTTATATTAATTTTTATTTAACTCTTTTAAAATTTGGCAATTACTCAACAATATTTGTATTACGATATGCGTTTAAAAACAAAATATAAACTTTATGCATAAGTTTTGTTTAAATATGAAAAATTAACTGTTAAATTACAATCAAAAATGCATTTATAAGTTTTATTTATTATTTATATTGTTATTTATTGACTATATAAACATAAAATATATTGATATAACAAAACCAATAACTCAATGTAAATACCTGTGTTAAGAAAATATTTTTTGATATTAAAATAAAATAAAGTATATTTCTATGGCACTATATACCAATAACTATCTATTATACTATCTATAACTAATAAATAAGGCCTGGAATTTGATGCATTTATAATAATATATGTTGTTTTTTTTATTTTGTTCCAATGTGTTGATCGTCATTACATAAATTTGATTTATGGAATACAAAATTTAAAGATACAATTTTGATTTTACATATTTATGAAGTCTTATACTTTACAATCATTTTCATTATTTTTGGTGCATTTTATGCTTTTTTATACATATTTACATTTTTTCTTGTTGAAAATTACACTTTATAGTAACATATTATCAGATTATTAAATTAAATATCTGAAAAAACTAACATATATTACATTATACAGCCTTCAATTATTTGTATAATTTTATTTATTTATTTATTTTTATGACAGGAAGAAATTTTATTAAAAAGTCGTATATACTATAATTTTTTTTTTTTTTTTTTTATTTAAAATAATAGTTTTAGAATATCTAATATATAATTTTATTTTTATCAATTTACGAGATTTTTATCATAAAAAAAATAATTATCATTATTTGTTTATTTTAATAATTTTTACAATAAAATATTAATTTTTAATTTTCTTTTTTTGTCTTGTCATTTTTTAACATTTTTATATTATTTTATGCACTTTTTATGTATTTTTAGATTATCAAGTTCTGGGTCCTTCTAATAAATTATAAATAAAATATCTTTGATAGGAAATCACTATATAAACTGCAAGAATAAGAACTATCATTAATTTATTATTTTTTAATAATAAAAGCAACATTCTTTTGATTTTTTTTTAATGTTTAAATTTATTTTTATTGGTTTATGTGAAACTCTTAAAATTAACTATCGATTTATAATGTATTATTCAAAACTAAAGTACAAAATAAATTTCAATGTGATCTTTATATTATTAATGATAACTAATCATCATTAATTTAAAAAAAGAATCAACAATATTATTAATATTAAATTATTATTTTTTTTTTTATACTTCATTTATTATTTTTTTTTCAATTATATTTATTTAATGAAGCAAATTATAAGTTATGAAAAATTAATGTTCATGTAAAAAGCATTTTTATCTTAAAATACTATTGACGTTGGCTATCTTTAATATAAAAACAACTACATGTAGTATGCAGAAAATGACTTCTAGTTTACAGTTGTAGGTGTCTTTAGATTTTAAAATTAAAGATAATGATATACAAGAAGTAAATTATTACATTCCAAACATCCAAACAGAATTTGGTGCTTGTATCTTGTATCAAGATATTATCAATATTTTTTTTTAATTCTAAATATTGTTTAATGCATGTTCAATACAAAACTGATGAAAGCATAAAATTATTTTTACTATTGTTACAAACCTTATCCAGCCTTAAATCTAAAATATATGGAATGTATAATAAATTGTAAAAGCGAACCTTTTCACAGTAAGTATTTATGAAATATCTAATCAGTTATCAAATAGAACGATTTACAAGTGTCACAAAGAATGTTCAAATTCTTTAAAGGAAAAAAACGATATTTTTCTTGTCATTGTTACAGTAAAAATATTTAAATTTTCAATGTAATACTCACCATTTAAAATACTGGCATTTGTCATCAAAAGAGAACACGCAATAAACCAAAAATAGCAGACGGTGCACATTTTGTTTATTGTGCCTGTAGTAATTTTCAGTATGTTGGAACGAATAAACCGAAGTGGACAGCGATTCGAACTTTTATACAATGGATCGTGAGTGAATTAAACTGAAGAAATGCGCTTTGGATTCTCAAATCCTTTTATATATATGTATGGGTACGCAAATACCCAAAGGTGTGTCACATCTCTGGCAAAACAAAACAATCAATTCCAATTTATTCGCGAAAAAAACATCAGTTGAAATACTAGAACACAATAAATTTTTATTTGTTCAGGTTATTATTCTTCGGATTGACTTAATTGTATCATTTGTTTGCGATGTTCATTTTAAAAAATGTCTTTTAGTTTTATTTATTACGCATTACCGTAATTTGAGTTTAAGAACAATTCCAAGTAAACATTTTTTCTGATTGATTTCGGCACATTAAAAATTAACAGTTTAATAAGGTGGTTCTCATTTAAAACAAAAAGTTTGTATCTCCACAGGACACTGCTTTAGTAGTATAAAAAATCTCAATAATTTTAAAATATTGTCTAAAGACTAAATATAGCCAAAAACCAAATTTTAAATAACTGTATTATTGAAGAAAATTCAGCCTGTATATAAAAATATTAAATACAGCTGCATTTAAACCCACTAGTGGGTTAGACCTACTTACTTTTTTAAAAAAAAAATCTAAGTCGTTGAGTCTATGCGAACGAATTTTAAAATATAACGATTAATAAATAATAGTACCTAGGTATTATAATTTCGATAAGTTCTATCACACTCGAAATAGGAGTATTTGGACTAGATACATGACATATACACCGATTAACCATTATTTTTATTCAATTAAATTCCATGAATAATGAAACACTGTAGTATATTTTTGTAAGACAAATATATTATTTGAAGTAATACAATCAATATTCTCTAGTCTCGATAATTCGATTAATCTGGTATAACAGTTTGTACTTAATCTATGGTAGTTATATCAGTTACTCTAAACTCTTAAGAAACCGTAAATTTCGAATAAGCAATTAATTATTAAACTGTGTTTTTATGCTACCACTGCCACTATAGGCAATTTTAAATCAACTGAAACTTATTTTTACTCCGAATTTATTTTATACACAAATATTTATTTTTTATCCATACCTATCAAATAATATGGTTTTTATATTACTACTACCTATTTTATAATTTTATTTAAGTTTTAAAAGATAATTTATACTATAATTATAACTTTATTATTAGTGTAGGTATATAATATTATTTATGATTTGATTTTGAATTTTTTTTTTTTTGTAAAATAAAATAATTTTATTATGTTTAAATGTAAAGAGCTAGAATTTAGTTGATATTCTCCTATTAAATTTGTATATTTTCGTATAATTCTAGCTATGCCCTTGACTAAGTAAAAAGTGTATAGACTATAGAGAGAGAATTAGTATGAGATCAGAATTGTCTACAAAGGAAAAACGTTAGTCGAAAAGAAAAGTATACTCTCTCTCCTTATCGTTCAATCTATGTCTTCATTTTGAAACTATAAACCTTAATGATACAGCTTCTGTACACACGTGAGTACCACATGAGTAATATATTGTTCTGTATGTTCTCGCGATCGGACAAACGATGCAATTATTTCAGTGAGACTTGACAATACAGTCGTTATAGTCCAGACAGCATTGCCACAAGTCAGTCTGAGTGATATATAACATAACTATCTTAGTACAATATTACACCTACATAAGTATATAACTATAATTTATTATATGAAAATATAAAAGAAATTTCTGAAGTGTTTTATACTTTTACGCATATTTCGCAATATTAAATTTTAAAAATATGAAATCAATACATTTTTATTACTATTATTTTACGGTCACTACGGTACTTTTTGTCAAGTGTATAAAATTCAAATTTTATAAATCGTGAGCTCGCGATAAATAGAAAAATAATGTGAAATTTCGTTGTAAAAATATAAATTTTCAAATATTAATGTGACTTAGGCTAATAATTATATTATATAATGGTTAAAATGAAATGTCTGAAACTTTTCTTAGTCTTATTTTCATACTAAACAACACAATAATCTTTCTTCTAGAATACCGCTCATTATTGATTTTAATGAATCGCTATTACATACCTATTACTATTTTAGTATGTAAGTGAAATACAAAATGTCTATTATTTTATTGAATCCATTTTAGTATCAGAGTTTAAACTCCATATTATACATAGGTAATATGTTTAAATATTTAATATGTGTACATTTAAATGAAATACTTTTTTCTATATTTTCATCAAACAATAATAAAACTGTGGAGATCCCTTAACTGTACCCCACTCAACTATCTCCCAAATCCAGCCTTGCCGGTATAAATATTTTTTAAAGATCATTACACTATATACCTCCCCAATAAATATACTCCCCAAAGATAACCACCAACATTTTTTTGATATTTAATTTTTTCTGAAATACAATATTATTTTTTTTTTATTGATTAAGGATATTCAATTTTTATATTTTGGTTTTAGAGTATTACCTATATACGTCACTGTATAGTAATATATAACTACCTGTAAATTATAAAATATTGCTTTAGATCACATACTCTGATACTCCGATCCGCATCTATTGATCCGTTTACATGCAACTTGTACACCCGTAGTTATTTCTAATGCGCATTTCAAATGTAAATTAACTAAGCCGTTTTAGGTAGGTACATGCCGTATTGATATGAAATAGAATTAACAGCCGTTTACATGCATTTAACATCGAGAGTTAACTAATTCAAATTGAGTTTAATCAGTTTTAGCTGTGCATGTAAACGTAGTACCTATATATTATATTCTGCAAAATGTTAAGAGACAGTGTGGTATCACGTTATAATGTTTCATTTTTTTTCGTCCCCACATCCATGATTAAAAATTGAAAAATTTTCTACCCTTAAATCCTTCAAATCACATATTATTATTTCACGTTTTTATGTGATATACGATTGATGTATCCATAAAATACCAACGAAAAGCATGTCAATTATGTTAATAATGCGAATTGTGTAACATATATAAATATGCATATATATATATATACACGGCTATTCCTATATTAATCAAGTTCTCCTTTTTCAATCACTGCCGAGAGTGGCGCATGTCGTATATACAGACATAAATCATTTGACAGGGGGATTCACGTTCCGTATTGTTTTTTATAACAACTAACCACGTTGTTGTAAGTATATACAAATACATCTTATTTTTATACATATTTGTATAAAATAACGATATTGCACATTGGCAATAACAACGCGTCAATAACAAAACCATGACCTATAGTCGTTCTACGCACTTCAATGATAAATATGTTTAACTAGGTAAAATGAGTTAATAACATGCAACACATATGATGATGTGACTGTGTATAATAAATAATAATGTTATACCAATTATAATATAGACCATATAGTAAACAACATAATAACAATAATATGCTATAGGTATTAATAAATCTTATTATGCACCATCAGAAAAAATATATATTAATAAAATAAATAGTGCGTACAATAAATAATATATCCAAGAGGAAATTAAATTAAATTATTACGCATTAGTAATAATACAATATTTTACATAAGTAGCTTCGAGTATACGTAATTGTCGTGATTTTACAATTAATTGTACATAATATACCAGGTGATTTGTTTAACGTAAAATACTCAGTATTTAAAAAACTATAAACGATTTTAAAAATATATTTTAGAACTTATGTAATTACAAAACAAAATTTTTGAAAAATAAATTATTTGTTATATTTCGATTAATAAAAATTAAATTTCAGATAAGTAGTTAAGTAAATTATAATCCGGAATCTATTTGTCAAGAATTAGATTTTTGTACATCAAACTGACAAAGAATATAGGCACCTACTCTGAAAAATATTCTGCTTTAGAATAAATAATAAAAAATTTATACTGATATTAAAAAATAGTGGACAAGTAGGTTATCGCTCTACTCAAGAAATTGTATAGTGGTTGTAGGGGTTTTACCACCTCTCCCCACAAATAAAAATTTTATTTAGACATTTTTTTTTCCACATAGATTAATGTCAGAAATTTTCTGATAATCTTAAAACGATAAATTAATTATATTTCGTTTATTAACATTAAAAATCTTTTACTCATAAACTCCATGAACACATTTTATTCATTATATGTGCTTGACTCTACTATACAGTAGGTTTTAACTGTTCTTTGACATTAAGTAGATCTGCATGATATGTGTTGAAATTTAATTTAATTATAATAAATCGTTATATTGCAAATTAAAAACGATTCTTAGCGAGTATGCATCAGATTAACTATAATATACTAAGTGACTGCATACGAATTGAGTTTTAATAAAACCTTTCAAAAGAAATTGAATCTTTGGTAGTTTTTCGTAAGTACTAAAACTAATACTTATACTATTATACTAATAATTTAGTCCATGTCTCAATACTAATTGAATCCTGTTCAAATTATTTCTATTTTTACGAAAAAAAAAAGTTATCAGTGCTTATATCATGAATAATAATTAATGATTAATAAATAACCAAACTTTAATTTAAGTTTTTTTAAATATATTAAATTTTCTAATATGTCTTTTTTAATTAATCAATGAAAAATACAACTATCCAAAGACTAGGCATAATGAAAATGGATCAATATATCTATATAGTTTGCATATTCTCAATTATCATACTAATTTTATTATTTTTTAAATATTATTACACTTAATGTTTTGTTATCGATCAACGTGTAGATAATAAATTATATTAAAAAAATAAAATAAAAAAAATTATGATATAATATTACAAAATATCAATTAAAATAAAATGTGTTCTTGAGGCATTAACGTAGCTAAATTGCCTATCTAACACGCCGTATGGAATTGTTCCTACTGATTAACTATATGTTATTATACAGTAAAATAGAAAATACAATTTTTTTCAAATTAAATCTAATTACTATTAATGTTAATAGGTTTGTATTCTAAATACCTCTAAAAATAATACACACTTTTTTTAACAATAATTATTAACGTACATAAAATACTTATGACGTGATATTCTTTCCTAGATCCTCTTGGCCATCCACAACACTTCTGGTCGTCAACTAAAATTTCAAAAAATTTTCATTTTCTAAAATTGTATAGTTTAACGTGAAAACTCGGCCTTCCTGAATGCTTGTACAACACAATATACTTACATTATATTATATTTCTTTATTTAATGTATTGTTAATACTTATTATTTGTAGTAATAACGCATAAACATTTAACAAAAATATTCATTAACAAAGTGTAAAAGACACAGAATTTCTACACTAATACTACTGAATAATAATACAAAAAACAAACACTCTCACAACGGTTTCAATTAGTTATTTATCCACATTTCGAAATTCAGTCACCAGACGCAACTATTCAAAGAATAACGTAAAATAATATTAAAATAAAGATGCTACTGCAGTATGATTAGTGCCAAAAAGTTACCATCTAAGTCCCCAAGACTCCCTATTAGCATATCTACACTATTAAATATTTACATATAACCTAATTAGTCTATATTAGGCATATTATACGGCAGCATTTCCAAACTCTTGTGCTACGGCATTTTAGTGTGACGTGTGGTCTTTTTAGTCCTTCTATAGATGTGTCGCAAAACATTATAATATTATTAATAAATAATATTTTTCGTAAAATTTGAAAATAAAAATATTTTTAACAATTCTCTTATCGGCGATTACCGCACCTTGCTAAAACATTGGTACAACAATTATATTCATTGCACAATGAGATAATATACTACATAATTACATTTTAACATTATCATGATGCAAAAATAAAGTTTTTATAAAGATTCAAACATTTTTTTGTGTGGGGTGAGGTGAGGTGCTCCGTACGAATCCCACAGACACTCAATGTATTCCGTATTTTTATTTATACCTTTAATATAATATAGATACCTAGAAACGGATAGACACAAATATATGAATGTATACACGCATATATATATATTACATATACACATTATTTTAAAACGATATAATAAAACACAATTTGCAAATTTATATTGCTGTTTGAACCGAAAACCATCATCATCATGGCCCTATACTGTACGTGATTAGTCATGATTAAGTCTGGGGACCGTGACACTTTTATTTGTCTATTATTATGGTGTGTGTTAATATATTATATACACATATATCAGATACATATAAGTCGTATAGAAGACACGCGTATTCTACAGCATTATATTTATATATATAAATGCGGTATTATTGTAATGTATAGATATATAAGCACTATATACATAATCATTAACCTATTAATAATAATATATATCAATATGGCTATATCCAAAGGCCAAAAGATAATGATGACGTGGGATCCTATCGTGCGTAAATTGAAATCCTGTGCAGTAAACGTCATCAAGAATCGTAGACAGATAAATCGCTTTAAAATCAAATTGAGATTAATTATATATATAAACATATTCAGCTGGGTACACGATACATGATTTACCTACTGGACGATATAATACCTAATAGATTGGTACATACATATATCGAGCATACCATTGTTGATTTTTCTAAATTACAACAAAAACTACCTGTTTTTTTTTTGCTATTATTTTATCATAAAATTATGAAAAAGACATATTATAAATAAAAAGTTTTTAATAATTGAAATGTATATTTATTGTATTAAACTTTTAGTTAAGAAACGAGAGATTTAATAAAAATCAATATTATCGAAGAACGTTTACGTACTTATTAATTTGCTTGATGTGTTTTTTATGTTATTGTTTTGTTATGCGTCTGTTGCCATTATATTTATATTAGCGGTTTATAATATTTTTAACTTTTAACTTTAATATTATATAACTAAATCAAATAATAATATCTATGAAAGTTATCTCAAATAATAACAATAGAAATTAAATTTTTATGTGTTTTTTAATGTCTTTCTCCCATAGAAATCATGGCTACGCTACTAATAATAATGATACGAGTAGGTATATACTCTATATACTCTACCTATATAGAATATATTGAATTGTTAAAATTTAGTAAGTGTTAAAAAAGCTTAAGTAAAACAAAACAGAAAACCTTTTTTTTTTTTGATAAGTAAAATAAAGCCAAATTATTGGATATATCAAATTACATGGTTGAAATACATGAGTTTACTACATGTGCGTATCTCGGCATTAAAACTATAACCGATATTCAATACAAAAACTATACATTCCTTGTGACTTGAGAAATGGGATTAATAGATGAGGATATAATTTTACAATTATTATTTTTATTTATTTTATTTTTTCAATAGTTATAAAAATGTTAAATGTATTAAAATGACGTGGCCAAAAAACCGAACACAAATAAAATTCAAACCTTCCAATCCACTACCCTCCGGTTAATCACTAATGCCCCATATTACGTTACTAATATACAGATTTAAAAATTAATACGATAGAAGAAACTGCAATAACCCTTTATAAACGTTTCCGCTCCTGACTGTCAAACCACTCCAATCCACTAATCTCTGCCCTTGATTTCGACACCATTCCTGATAACCCTCCTCGTCGACTGAAGAAAAAGTGATGTAGAGACTTCAATATCAATTAGCTAAATATATAAGATAAATTTAAATTCAACCTAATCATGTCATAAAGTGTCGCCATTGGGTAGCTGCTTTTATCATGTTGATGTCAAGCTATATTATATATTTCCGCATGCGTACTTATTATAATAATTTATTTACAAATTGTATGCTTTAAAATAAAAAATTAAAATAAAAAATGTGTTAAAAAAATCTTAAGTACTAAAAAACAGACAAACCCTTTTTTTTATAAGTATAATAGAACCAAATTAATGGAATATCAGATTACATAGTTAGGTTATATATTAGGAACTATCTGAATTATAATCTTCATTTCGTTCTTCATTGAATCGAGATTTTATTGCTTCTTTATCATACTTATTTAATTTTTCAATATTTAAACTAAAATATATAAATTAATAAAAATTATTTTCATTACATTATATATATATATATATATAAGTATAAAAAAAATAAAATAAAATAGGTACAAACCCTTGTCGCAATAGTTTCAAATCATTTGGTGAAAGAAATGGGAATCTATGATTTCCTGAATTTAAATCATATTTAATGTGTTTTAAATACCTTTCTTTCATAGATTGCCATGTACGATGTTTACATACCTATAAAATGGAGAAATATGATTTATTTTACTAATTACAAAAAAATATGATAGTACAAATTATTTTTGTTTGATGTTGTACTATTAAATATTCAAATATTTAACAGAAGAGTGGATTTAGATTTTGAATTGTATTAAGAATAGAGTATTTGAAGAATTGTGTAAATATTTTTTGAGAATTAGTTAAACCTTGAGTTATAACATCAATTAATTTTATTAGCTTACTTTGGCATGTTCCATACGTTGCCACATTGTTACTCCGGTGACATTGAAAGCATAATTGTTTTTGATTATGTAATTAACAATATTCATCTCTTCTTTATGTGAATAAGGCATTCTTGTGCTTCACAAAAATGGTTTAAACAAAATATAAATTATATATCATGATAAATAGATGTATAATATTTACTTTTTTAAATTAGTCTTCTGTAAATTGTTAGACAACATAGTATCATTAGAATCAGCGTTAGATCTAGAACTAAAATAATATATGAGTAAAATTTAAATCATTGAGTTATGAACATTTTTAATTTTCATTAATATATGTAGTGAGATTAACTTTTATTTTAATAAGATGCATATATCTAACTGGAAGATCACTTGAAAATAATAAGACGAAAATAACAATAAACAAAAAATTGAAATTGTATTATCTAGCCTAATATAATCCGAATAATCAAAAATAATAATAATCTGTATCTACCTGCTTGATACTATTTAAAATTAATAATCTACAATAAATATGAAAACAGATTACTTAAAGAAAAATATTTTTAAATTCATTAAAAATATGACAATTTTATTTTAAGCATATCTTGACAATCAGATAAAACAGAGTGCAAACAAACAGTTATAAAATACATTCAAAGTATGCTATCTAAATTAAAATTAATTTATTTTAATAATAATATGTAATAATACTTATGGATTAAAACCATATTTAGTTAAATTTTTTTTTAATGATTCAATAACACGGTCATTTTTTGACAATACCTTTCTTTTTGGTGGCAGGAACATGGGATGGATAAATTTTTTTATACACAGCATCGATAGGGCCACGAGGTTAATTTTAGAATTCCCAGTAGATCCTTCAGGCTATCTGCTCCCTACTATGTTTTCAAAATAATACAAATGAGAATCTCTCTGGCTTTTAATACCTCTTAAATAAGTTAAATATTAAATATATATCTATTATAACTTAAATAATGTCTGATTTAAAAATTGTACCTTGGCAGCAGCCTATAATTTATGTAGATACTAACTATTATACAATACACACAGATTTTTTTTTTATATTAAAAATATAATTATAGTCTATATAACATTTCTGTACAATAAGTAAGTTTTATATAGATATTTATATAGCGAGATTGACAAATAGGGGAAGGCACTCAGTAGTGCCACTCGACAGATTAAATTAGGAGATCTCTAGGCTAGAAGTGTTTAAGACATCTATGGAGATTAAGAAAAAATAGGTGTTTTATTAATGGATAGTTGAGTTGGATTAATTTGGAGTGAAAGGAGACATAGTAGAACTTAGCTAAACCATACACACGGCTAAAATACATTCATGTTAACTTAATCTATCTAACATAATTGGTTAATAGAATTTAATCGATTTGGGCATTCGTGTAGCAGGTGATCTACTACCTCTTTTTAGGTGTATCAGGTGATCTACCGTAGTTTACAAGGTGTAATTGGTGATCTACAATTATTATATTATATTATACTATTATTATTCGCACATTATCGCAGACCGCAGTGGGACAGTATTGCGATAACGATTAATGACATTTACAATATGACTACGAGTCATTAGCAATGTTGCTAGATAGGTTAGTTTCAAATTGTTCGTTGGTCGGAGATTGTCTATAATGCGTGCGTTTGAATTTTATAAAATAATTGCTGATGAAAAATCAACTGTAAATTTTTTACAACTTCACAATTTACTTCCGAATGACAGTGAAACACCAAATTGTAAAAAATGTGATTCCGAAACAAAAATTGTGATCAGAAAAAAACGACTGGCTTCTGGTGAACAACGTGAGTACCAAAGTTTAAGATGCGTTAAAAAAGGATGCCAAACATTCCAGTCTCTGCGTCAAGACAATAAATTTTTTACTTATACGGATTTGAATAACAAATGTAATTCTAAATTGTCGCTGGGACAAATTTTAGAGTTAGTTTTTTACTGGTCAGTAGACATGAGTATTGTAAACGTTTGTCGGCTTACAGGACGTTCTAATAAAACAGTGGTAGACTGGTACAATTTATGCCGCGATGTGTGTTGTACTATTTATGAAAATCGGAAACCTATGGGTGGACCTAATGAATGTGTTCAAATTGACGAGTCATTACTACGAGGGAAAAGAAAATATAATAGAGGCAGGATTCTACTGGGTGATCATAGAGGTGCAAATTTGACGGACGACGATAGTTCTGATTCTGATTCTGAAAATATTCCTCCTAATAACAGGAATAGAAATTATGGCAAACGAGTAGAAGGACCTAGGGTTTTTGGAATGTGTTGGCGGCATGATGGTTTTCTTGAAAAACGTTTTTTTGTTGTTGAACGTCGAGATAGAGCTACACTTATTCCAATTATTGAAAAAGAAATACTCCCAGGAACAACAATAATGTCAGATGAATGGAAACCATATACAATTTTACAAAATACAGGTTATAATCACTTGACTGTAAACCATTCTAAAAACTTTGTCGACCCACTAACAGCAGCCAACACCCAGACAATAGAATGCGTTTGGTCACATCTGAAAATGAAAATACTTCGAAAAATGCATGGCACTACATCGGAACTTTTACCTCGACATCTGATTGAAGCATGGTGGAGATCAATTAATGTTGAAAATACTTTTTTTTAAATTTTTAAATGATATTAAAAACATTTACTGTAATTGAAATTATTATTATATTTAGCTAATTATTTTTTATTTTTATATTTAACGAATATTTGTATAATATGACGTACTCGTAATAAAAAAATATAATGTGTTTTTATACTATTAAAACGTAGATCACTCGTCCTGAATTCGCAGATCACTCCTCTGCGGTAGATCACCTGCTACACGAATGCCTCGATTTGTTTTATTGACTACAAAAATAGTTTTATGATAAAAAAAAAAAAAAAAAAAAAAATAAAAAAAAAAAAATACCTAACCGGATAATAGGATATATCAGATTACAAATAGAAATACCAGAGTTTACTGCGTATGTGTGTATCTCGGGATTAAAACAATAACCGATATTTAATATAAAAACTATACATACCTTGCGACTTGAGAAATGGGATTAGTAGATGAGGATATAATTTTACAATTATTATTTTTGTTTTCTGGAATTGAAACTAAATCAGACCATGATTTATTTTGATAGAACCAACAATCAAATATATCATCTTTTGTATAATTTGCAAGACATGTGTTTTTAATTCTATAAAATAAAAATAAAAATCAATAAATTAAGATTATCATAATTTTGTAAATCTTTTCTTTTTAAATACTTTATTTATATAATTATTTACAGTCTAAACTAAGATACAGAGTTGTATTTTTCATTATATTGACTATATGCCTAATGTCAATAATGGTCAATACTCTTTTTTAATTATATTATGTGTTTACATTTTTATGTATTGTTAGACTGACTGCCTAAATAACCTAAATAACATGTTAGAAAAACATTTAAATAAATCATGGTAATAGATTGGACCTATTATATAGAAAAAGTATGTATATTAAATCAATGGTGGGGGGGGGAGGAGAATAATAAAAAAAAAAAATTGGGTGCCCTGGAAAATTGTTTGAATTAATGAGTATATGTTTTTAAAGAAAAAAAATCAACAATAAATGAATCATTTGTAATTCGACAAAATGTTAAATATACTCAATTTTTCATTAGAGAAAAATGTTCTGATATTAATGGTTTTAGTAGGTATCACAGTGATCTATTAAGGTTGGAGCATCACACATTAATACATCATGTTAAAGTTGTACGACTACTGGTTATAAAACTACTACAAATTTAAATATAATATAGAAATATATTAAAATATACAACAAATAGTTAGTACTATTATGATTATTATAATACACTGGCATACAATTAAATTAGCTTAGAAGCTTAAAACTTGAGTATATTATTATAGTTACTATTTAGTAGATAATTATTAAGAAAAATTGGATTGTATGTTCTATTCTTCAATCTTTCTCATACGAAAAAAAGAAGAAATTATAATTAATAAATAAAAATCAATGATGACAATACTCACAAATATTTGGTTGGATCAAGATATTCTTTGAATTTAAAGCAATCTTCAATATATTTAATATCAAATGCTGGAATCTTTCTATGAAAATAATTGGTTTGTCCTGGTTTTACAAGTATCATAGAATGATCATTTGGTCTATCTAATATATTTGCAAAGGACTTCTGTTAAAATAAAATTTAATTGAAGTGAAATGATTAACATAAATATAAATCATAAAATCTATAAATATAAAATATACAAAAACAATATTATAATATAGATATCTACAACATAACAATACTTACTCTTAATAAGTTAGAATAGAATTTTTCTCCAGTGTCCCAGTCAAGCACAAACGTTAAACTTTGTAATTCGGCATTGTGGAAATAAAATACGTTTTGTGCTAGATCAAAATCTATTGACTTAAAATTCATTTTTAAGGGAACTTACAATAAAATAGTAAAAACAATATAACAAAAATATAAAAGATGTCATGAAAAAAATTTAAAGCTTAAAGTAATAACGATTAACGATAGGAAAAATGATATAACTACGGTCTGCGATATCAGAAGTATAGGCATCAGCCATCGGACACTTTTCCTAACATCATGGAAGAAAAAAAACATAAAAATAAAAATTTTTATCAACCTATTGCACTAACTTCCAAACACCAAATCTCCCAATAATTAAAATTTAATTTAAGTATTTTACGAAAATTATTTATTTTAATATTTAAAAAAATATTGCACAATTATAGTGCAAATAAATATTATTGTACAATAAAAATTGTATTAAACAATCAAAAATTTAGACATTTTAAAATCTGATCCTACTTCAGAACACCACTGCGGTCAAATCGACCTCAATCATAAATGTTTGTAACACCTTAGAGTGATCGACTAAACGCGAATGAAAATAGAAAATGTCTAAACTTTGAAAACTTACTAACGAGTTATTTTATGCGAAAACAGTGAGACTTAGGGCTATAAACTATAGACAATAATTTGTTAATCTAAACGATTTACATAATTTATGTGTTTTCGAATTTGCATAACACATAAAACTCTAGATTTTTAAAATCTCGATGAAAGTCCAAGTGTTTTTCAAAATCAAAAATTTTAAATATCAACATTTTAGAAATTTAAAAACTGAATTCATTTCAGAACACCACTGTGATAAAATTTACCTCAGTCATGAATGTTCAATGTTCAAATACCTTTGGATGATCGACAAAACGCAAATGAAAATGGAAAATTTCCAAATTTTGAAAACTCCCTTACGAATTGTTTTACGTGGAAATAGTCCCCCCCATACAGCATAAACATACTTTCCAATTATTGTAAAAATATTTTCAGGAAAATAATGATAAACATTTGCCTAAACACCTTGGCCACAACCGTGGTTGGATATCACTTATCAGTACGTTGATTAAACATTGCTAAAATTATTCCTCTTCGTATAAATATTGGTAATATATTTTAAATAGGTAATAGTATGACCTAATAACTGTAGTGACGGCTCTATCATGCCACTATTTGACGGCGTAGCACAATTCAAAAAAAAAATTCTCTTCTGTCGTTTGTTGTTTACTTTACACGAATAACAATAATTATTAGTCGCGATTGAACTTCCTCGTTAATTAAACAAAACAGGCAAATGTGTAAATATGTTTTTTGCGCTCCTAAAGAGAAAACTGAATCCTGCGTTTGGTATTCATGATTATTGTCGGTTTGAAGCCACCATGACTTAATGTATTTTTGCATTTTTGTTTTAAATTCGTGATTGTTTTTATTTGACGTCCGCCGCCATGGACGAATCGACGTTCCTGATGCTGCTGTCTGTTCTAATGTTGGTAGCTAGTTACTTATCTGGCAGTGTTCCGCTAGTGATGCCCATGTCTGAAGTGAGTATGATGCATTGGTCATGCATAACTATTGTAATATCACATATTTATATTGTATTTCGTAGGCCAAATTGGAACTCGTATCCCTTTTTGGAGCTGGCCTCCTTGTCGGTACGGCGTTAGCTGTAATAATACCTGAAGGAATTCACTCCCTCTACTCAACTGTGGCACCACACAAAAGTTTGTTCATTGATTAATATGTAGGTGTTTTATGGAGCTAAGATATTTTTCAACATTTGAAAGAAGTGCTAAAAATGTTATGCATTGTCAAAATATATTGATTAACTTTTGAAAAGTGTGTTATACCATAATAGGAAATTATTAAACACTGGGATTCATTCTATTAACATATGGAAATTTAATTCTCTCAATCCATGTGCAAATACTTGATAAATTATGGTTTATAATTTATGTAATTTTCTTATGAATGTTTGGTATTTCTTATTGTCCCTAAATAGCATAAAAAATTAACCTTTTCACAACATTTATAATTATATAATACATGATAGGTATATATTATCAATATTATGTATTGAGTAGTTATGGTATTTAGTCAATAAAGAATAACAAACAACACTTACTAATCATATTTTAATACTTTTAGTAATTTTCTTTACCTTATTTTGATGAACTTATCTAGTTTTATATTTGTGTTCTTTAAGTCAAGAACACATCTCTTATAAATAAAATTGTTACTATTAAATTTTTCATGCCAGAATTTTAATTGTACATTCATTAGTGTAACTAATTTTTCTGTTCAAAAAATGGTCACTTTATTAACAAATTTAAAAAGTGCTGATACTTAATGAAATAAATTATGTAATATTTATCATGCTAATTAGCATTAATTTTAAATATTCTTCTTCTTTATGGATTTATTGGGCTGTTAGGACCATCCTGTCTTACAGCCAATGTACTTAACTATAATCTATTAAATAATAATTATAGCCCAGATATATGCTCTAAAAATCTCAGAAATATGCACTATAAAATATGCATTTGTGCTCTTATTTTATAGATATATATACCCTTAAAAATAAAAAATATGCAAAAAAATTAATTTAAAAAAGTTTTTTATTTTCATTAAATATAAATAAATAAAATTTAATGAAAGTTACACGTATTCAGTTCGCGACAAACACGACTAATGTATAATTCACTAAAATTTACTCAATAAAAAATGACTTCTTGTCTCGATAAGTCTCAGATAAGATAAAAAAATGACCTCGTCAAATTACATGGACCATAAATTTAATATAACTATAAAGGTGTAATTTTAATTAAAATAAAGGAAATATAACATATTATGTAGTACAAGTCAAAAAATGACAAAATATGCAAAATAAAACTTTATATTTAGAATCTGTTGACTACAAATCAAACTTAAAGCTTACTTAACTATTTTTTGGACTGTTCAGAAAAAAACATGCAATTGCATATAAATCTGGGCCCTAATAATAATAGCGACTTATGATGTGTTTCTAATTTGATTTTAAATCTTGTATAGTTTTACCTAATTGGTTAGATAAGATTTCTCTAATCATTCAGATTTCAGACACAACAATTTGCTTTAGTTTCAGCTATAGCTCACCAAATATCTATTCATGTTGTATTGTAATTATTATTTTTTCAGTGTATAAATTTAATTTTCTTCCTTCTTTTTTAAAATACCAATCATTAAATGTGTATTGTCTTGTTATAAGTTTGATGTATAAATAACAAATCAATGTATTTTGTATAATAGTTGAGCTTAAATAATTTGTAATATTTTGGTAGTCCATCAATTACAAATGTAATCTCATACTTCCATTATTTTCATACATATCACTTTTTATACTTATATATTTTCTCAGTTACTACTTTTTATTTTAATAAATTATAATATTGATCACAATATAAATGAGTTCATGTCTATATTTTAAAGAATTACAATTATTTATTTAATCTATATCATTCGTGTAAATAATATTAACTTACTGATTTTGTATTTAAATTGATTTTTACAGCTGCTGATAATATGACAGTTACAATAGATTTTAGTGATGTTAATTTTCATTCAGTAATTGGAGTTACATTAGTATTAGGATTTACACTAATGTTATTAGTAGATCAACTGTCATCAAAATATACAAAAGGCAAGTATCAAAAAATGTCTTAATGACCAATATACAAGAATATTGCATTTTTAAAGATGTAGAAGCCGGATTTGCCAGTCGTAATTCTGGTAGTATGACAGCTACCCTAGGTCTTGTAGTGCATGCTGCTGCTGATGGTATTGCTTTGGGTGCTGCAGCTGCCTCGACTCAAACAGAAGTGGAAATGATAGTTTTTATTGCAATAATGTTACATAAAGCACCAGCTGCCTTTGGTTTAGTCACCATTTTATTACACCATGGACTTGACAAAAAAAGAATACGTAGACATCTGTTAGTATTTTCTATGGCTGCACCCCTAGGTGCACTACTCACTTTCTTTTGCATAGGCCAGGTACTTAACATTTGGTTCAGATATTTGTTGAATAAATTATTCTTTATGTTTATGATTATTAAATTATTATGATTATACATTTCAGGAAAGTAAAGAAACATTATCGTCCATGAATGCCACTGGAGCCGCCATGTTGTTCAGTGCAGGAACATTTTTATATGTTGCAACAGTTCATGTACTTCCAGAGTTGATGGTCAAAGCTTCTAGAGGAGGCAGTGATACTTTTAACCCACTACAATTGTTGTGCTTAGTATGTGGTACTGTGACACCATTAATGTTGTCAGTCCACCATGGACACTAAGTACAAAGTCCAAACAATTTTTTATAATAGTTTCTTAATTAATGCATAATTATAGTATTGTATCAACAGTTCATAAATAATCAAGTTTAAACGCAAGTTATTTTTAATAGGCTACAATGTTTCTAAACTTAAATTTTTTATTCCAGAAAGTATAAAAGCCTATAACTTAATAAGGTTAATACAGAAAAAGGATATTATTTTTTTGTTATCTGCTAAGTATTCCAGTAAAATATTGTAGTTTTTTTTTTATTTTCCAATCATTAAACATATCTAACATATTATAGAGCTTGAATTTCCAACTATTTGATTCAAGTAATATTATTTTAAGAATCAATGACCTTGAAGTTTTAAATTAATAAACTTATTTTTTTTAATTACCATAATGAATACAAACACATTTTATAGTTGTTTTTAAATTGTTTAATATTGTTATTGTGTTAATACTATTTATACTATTTTTTTCATTGGTATAAAATTTATAAGTGAAATTATGATATAAGTTAAATATAAATTTAAGTTTATATATTTTTTTTATTAATTGAAAGCTGGGTTACAATTTTTTTATATATAAATATACTTATGTGATTACATTTTTAGTTTAATAAGAAATTTTATTACATTATAATAAAGAAATAAAGGTATTTTTTTTTTAATCTTCAGCTTCTAAGTTTATATTGTTACCAAACTTTCCATATAAATGTGTTTTTAGATCACTCATAGTAGATGAAATATCTTTAATTTTCGTTTCAATATCTTTCATCTCTTTTCCAACAGTTTTTTTCAATTCTTCCAAATTGTTCTATACAAATATCACATCAAATGATTTTAAAAATTATTGTTTATGATAACAAAAGAAAATATAATTTTCTTACCTGTGCAGTTTCTAGATTATAATATACAAAAGTTTCTCCAGAAAGATATGGAAGATTAGGACAATCATCTTCGTCCAATAACATCAACTCTTCAGATGCATCTTCCAGATTCTTTAATGTTGTCTAAACAAATCAATTGAAAATGAGTAGATCTTAGTGTTATAAAAATAGATATGTAAGTATTTATATTTATGATAAATCAAATTAGATTAAATGTTATTTTGAATTTTCCAATATTTTTACGGGGACTGTATAATTTACAAAATAACACAATTGAATAAAAAAAATTTATAATCTTTAATTTACAAGTAACCAAAATTTTATGATTTCAATTACTCAAAATCAGATTTGTATTTATAAGAAAAACTATCTTACTTGTTTCGATTTTAATTCATCTCTGTATTCGTCAACACGTGCATTAAGCCTTGCAAACTTGTTTATTTTTTGTTGATCTTCAAATGTAATATGAACATCAGAATCCTATTTGTGAATATCAAGTGTAAATATCATAATGCAATTAAAATTTTAAAAATGTATGCTTAATTTTATTTATTAATAATTTATTTAAATTAGGCAAATCTATTAACAATAAAATTAAGTAGTGCAATATATTTAATTATCGTCTACAAAAAATATACTATTTAAGAATTTTACAATTTAAAAATTAAAAATATCAATATTTTATGGTGTTACCAGTGTTTATCAGATATAATTAATAGGCAATAGGTACATATGGCAGTTGCTACCATTAACTTTTAACATTGCAATAAAAGTTGAAAAACTTACTGGTTGGAATGTTCCTTTAGACACTGATGTCGAAGCCATTTCGAACAGTTTTTTTTAAGAGTTATACAAATTCAGGTAGTAATTGAGTATTAAATTTGTTTGTATTTTGTAACTTAATATGACGATTACTCGTGTTTCATTAGGAGATTTACAATTTACACCTACTGAATACTGACGGAATACAGATACAGGCTACTCGTGTTCATGATTATCCATCATGTGTTGTTTCCATAGAGTAATGTGATAGCAGTGATAGTGTGATAACTCAGTGATATGGACACCACTGAGATAGATAAGAATATACTGGAGTGCGGACTCGTCCATGCTCGTATGTTGCGAAAAACTGGCCGACGTATTTTTAGTTACCCCTACTCCTGTATGGCAAGAAATTGAACTTCCATACCAATAACATTGAAAGACTACACATTTTAACTTGACATAACTCTGAGATAAATGGTCGTATTACGTTAACTTTGGTATCAAAATTTTTGTTTTCATGTGTACTTCAAACTTATATTTACAAAAAATAAAAATAAAAACTCTGAACAACATTTTTATTAATAACAAAATAATAGTGTAACATCTTCTTTATTTTCTATTGAAGTAGAGCTACATGCTTGTGTATTACTATTTAAATTGTGATTTTCAGTTAACTAAGCAATAAATAGGATAATTAAAACTATAATAATTTAAAAAAAAAATCAATTTGTTCTTAAAAGCTTACATTACCTATTTCTGGTTAATAGACAACGTTTCACAGGCATTTTTTTTTTTTTTTTGTAAATACTTAGGAAAACCATTAAATACTGTAGGATAAGCATCATCTTTTAATAGTCTTAAACTTGCTCCAAGGCGAATTTGATAATCGTCAGGTTTTAAGTGCTCACTATATATATAAGTGTATTTTATAGGAATAACATTTTTTCTTTTGATCATGTTCACCTATTTTTGTAATAACTCAGGTTTTTTGAGTGGGAATACTTGCGGAGACGAGTTTCAAAAACTACGTTACTGCATTCATTTTTAAAAACTACAGCCATCAGCTCAGCGAATACAGGGTTTTTAGTATTTTTACACGAAACTAGCAAGGATGGTAGCTGGAGACGTCTGTAACGTAATTTTGGTGGTTTAAAGTCGAACGTCTTATTATTTGATTTTTAATTAATTTTTGAAATCGAAATTTGCACAACTGCCGGGTGATTCCGCCGTACTTGCGACCAACTATATTGTACCGGGTGAGTTTAATAATTAATATATATTGTACCGGGTGAATTTAATATACTAATCCAGGTGAGTTCAATATATATTTACTGGGTGAATTATTTAGGTTAGGTGGTACGACAGTGTAGTCAGAGTTTTGTGATAAGACTTGGTTTTGAAATTGTAGCTGTTGAAAGTTTGTCATTAATAAACAATGGTACCAGTGGCGAACCCAGGATTTTAGTACTGTGGGTCTGCCTCACTTATGAGAGGCCACTGTGTAGAAGGTTCAATCAACTGTACATTACATTACCTTATTTATATTACATATATTAATATAGTAAATACTATAACTAAAAGAGATAAAGCATAAGTCATAACTAATTTTTTAATACAATTTAAAACTGACTTATAAACTTTGATATTATTAATTAATTCAAATTGAATGGGTTTTTCATATCTTTCTAATTTCTATACATCATATATCATAATATTCATAATATATTATATTTATATTTATACATTTACAATTATATTTTCATAGAAATGTTCTTGAGTCTGTGTACATTTTATAAATTACTTATAACACCATATTATTAGTTTATATTATTTCTATTTTTGATTATCGTAGTATTGTACATATTTATGTAGTTTGTCATTTTGAGAGGCCACATTTTACTGAGAAAAAAAAACGGTGGGTCAGCTGACCTCCCAAACCCCCCCTGGGTCCGCCCCTGAATGGTACCTACTGCTGGATGGCGTATTATTGTTCAGACTGACAAATTCTGACTTCATTGTTTTTGTATATGTCATATACATAAGTTAAAAGAAAAACTTGCTAAAAAGAGTGTCCGATACAGTAACAAAGTTCTGTGAACTTATATCTGCTCATCTATGTTTATTGATTAAGTGGAATAAGAGGATAATGACTACTGGAACCTCGTCATTGAGTAGATAATTTTTATAATGGGTGAGTTATTTATTCATATTTTAATTTTATTTATACTTAAACTAGGTACAATTAGATAAGGTTTAAATTTATGTATCATTCTTCAATTTTTTCCGTCGTCAAAAACGTTTTTAATTCTTTTATAGGTGGCCTAATATAAGTTATACACGCCTATAACTTATAATTAACATATATATACTTATCCCAATAATACATAATATATCGGTAAGCAAATATTTAATAATTCGATATCAGTATACGGTTAGATAATTTAAGTGATATATATATATTATTAATGAAGATATTTTGTTTGTTTATACAATGAAAATCATAGTAGATAATATTACATAATTTCTTATTTCATTCTATCATTTATGCGTAATCACATATAGTTGTATATTCTTAGGTACTTTTCGTCTTTTCACGTTATATGTGACTAAACAATTACTTATAACTTTTTTTTAATAGAGCATTGTCTTATTCGAGAGACGCAAGAACGCAAGCGAGTTCACTCAAATTGAAAAAATAAATGGAAATTTTTACTTAATGTGTAGGTATATAATAATATTAATTCGCGGAAATAAATTACAATAATTACAATAAAATAATTTGGCAGTATGTACTATGTACACGTAGCTGTAGCGAGTAAACTATCTGTAAACATATACAAGAATTAAATAATTAACAAAATTCATAATTATTAAGTATATATATAGTCTCAACCTAGAAACATCTGCAAATCATGTTCTTATAATTTATAAACTCGATCGAATCGCATAGATTTGGTTTTCGAAAAGAATCGCACTCGTAGCCCGTAGGTATACATTTGTTTAACACTATTGCAGCATGTCTTAAATCTAAATGAACTACAAGTTATAATCGATATGATATTATAGTGCCCAAGAATTAAATATTTTATATCTAATATCCGTTTTTGTTATTTTAAATCAAAAACCGTCGCTACCCTCGTGCAGGCCTCGTACATATATTAAAATATAGCAATGCTATAGTCAGCTGTAATGTGCTGATAATAAGTTTGGGTATTGGTAATTACCAAAATTATAAGCAGGACTGGATCAAGAAAGGGATTTAGAGAGAGGACTATAACCCCGGATCACAAATTTATGAGGCCACAATGTATCAAATTTACCCTAATTATTGTTTTGGCGAGGCCACCAAAAGCAATAGCTTCTTTATATTATAACTATAATTCGGTCCTAATTCTAAGAGAGATCAAAGATATATTTAATATTGTAATATAATAATAACAGCAGAATTAATTTTATTTAAAAGCTTAATGAAGAAGGAAATTGCCATCATTTATATTAGTTTAAATATAACTACTACTATAACACGTAAAATGTATAAACATGTTCCATTGTTCTGTAATTAACATGAGCGTTTATAAACGTTGTGCTACGAAATCGTTATCTATGACTCCATGTGTATTTGTGAATGCGTGAAGTGTATAATGTGAGTGGTTTTGAAAGGTAAGTACATTTAAATAAAATATGGATGTGCGTTATATTCAAACCTAACCTAACCTTACTCCTTCAGTGAACAACACATCAATGGGCATAATGTGTAACTATCGCTATTATTAAACATATTTTTTAACTACTAAAGAGTAAAGGTATAGTCATATACATTTTTTAAGATCTAAATTCTGAACTAAAACCCAATACACGGTTAAATGGTTTCTCAGGTTTCTCCGCTCCATGGTTTGGTAATTTGAATCTACTAATATAAAACCTACCTAATTACTTATTATTATATATCCGGCTCATTAAATGTATAAATGTAAGAGAAATCAAACAAAAATTCGTTTTTAAAATAGTTGTTTTTCATTTCTGGAACCATTAGCATAATTTATAAAACGCTGGCAGGCATCTGCTTTCAAATGATAATGCCCGTTTATTCATTATACGCCTATTTATATGGCTATATTCTATATAGTTATAAATTATAAAGTAGTTGTTCAATAGGTAAATAAACCCATCAAATATAAATCTATCCTGTGTAGTAGCTCAACGTTAATGTTTGATAGAAAAATAAAAATATGTTATAACTTTTTTCAATATCCTTGAATTGAAATCTTTGATATTTTTCTCTTTAATTTTGTTTTTATTTTCGGAATGAACAGTTCTTTTTTTATGATATTGTACAAATATGGTTTTAAATTTTTGTTATATATCAAACTATCAATAAATATTATGTCAAACAGTATGTTATTATTTTAAAAACATATTATAATATAATTATTGTATATATATTACGATAAAAAAATAATAATTAAGAATTGTTAGTATTTGTAATTTTTTACAAGTTAAAAACTAAATGAATATATTTTAATAGATACTACCTTGTTCTTTGAACACTGCTTTTATTTAATATCTTTAAAATATTGTTTCCTTATTTTAACTTTTTTTTGTTTGAAATTATGAAAACTACAAACCTTGGTAATTGTGAAGTCTGTTTTGTATAACTGAGAAATTTGAATGATTATTATGACCAAAATAATTACATCTCAATTTAATCTCAAACCTACTTAGTTATAGCCTAAAATAATTATATAGGTATTCAATAGGTAACTCATTATTTAAATTATTAACGGTTTTTAAAAAATTGTTTACATAGTTTTTAGTCGTTTCAAAACTATATTTTAGGTTTTTATTTTTTATGAATGGCAGCATACAATTATAATTTTATATATTGTAGTAAAATATTGTTAGATGAAATACAATTTAGAACAAATATCTAGTTCATATTAGTTATAATTATTATTTAAAAATAGATAGACAGAGAAAAATATTTTGTGGGGTATATCTGTTTCCCATTTTCATTTAAACTTTAAATATTTACAAATCATAATTATATTAGCCTAAAATTTTATTTTTATTTATAAGTATATTAAAGAATATAGAATTTTTTTATTTTAAAACAAGAAGTTAAAATTTTATTATATGTTGTTTAAAAAAAAGTGAAAACTTAAAAAAAGAATGATAATAAAAATTTTATTTTTGCATAATGAATAATGACTATAAAATATTTTTTTAAAGTTTATAGCATTTGATATAATAAGGTATCCTTCATTATAAAT